AGTAGGGAAGACACCCACCTGTAGAGAATAGTTCACGAAGGTCAGAAGATACTCACTAAAAAAGGCATAATGTGTTTTAAAAAGAGAAGTGGGGATGGGATCTAACAGACAAGTTGTTGGTTTCATTAGAGTAACAATTTTACAAAGCATGCCAGCGTCAACCAGGTCAAAACTATGCAGTGTATCCCTGGATGTAGATATAGGATCCACTTTATTAAAATGTACCTGCCGACGTAGTGATATATTTGACCTAATAGAATCTATTTTACTTCTGAAGTGGAGTGCAAAGTCTTCACATTTGGAGTTTGTTGACATGCTGCTAGGTTGTGTTAAAACAGGGTTAATTAAGCGATCAATTGTTGAGAAGAGGACTTTACGGTTGTTCTGGTTGTCTGCAATTGCTAGACAGCTGTGTGACTTTCTACAGAGCAATAGTTTATTTGAGGATTTTCAGTCAGGATTTAGAGTTCATCATAGCACAGAGACAGCATTGGTGAAAATTACTAATGACCTCCTTATTGCATCAGACAAAGGACTTGTCTCTGTACTGGTTTTATTAGATCTTAGTGCTGCATTAGATAGATAGATAGATAGATAGATAGATAGATAGATAGATAGATAGATAGATAGATAGATAGATAGATAGATACTTTAGAGGAAATTCAAGTATCCAGCAGCATACGAAACATACATACATTAAACCTATATTAAAATAGAATTAAAATTAAAATAACTTATAACACAGTAAAACAGTGCAAAAACAGTAAACAGTGCAAAATGGAGTGCAGATGGAGGTAGAAACTGCATTTGATACCATTGACCATCAGATCCTATTGCAGAGACTGGAACATTTCATTGGCATTAAAGGAACAGCTCTAAGCTGGTTTAAGTCATATTTATCAGATCGATTTCAGTTTGTACATGTTAACGATGAGTCCTCCATGCACGCCAAAGTTAGTCATGGAGTTCCTCAAGGATCTATCCTCGGATCAATCCTCTTCACTTTATATATGCTTCCCTTAGGCAATATTATCATAAACATTCAATATTAAATATTCCATAAACTTTCATTGTTATGCAGATGATACTCAGTTATATCTATCGATCAAGCCAGATGAAACTCATCAGTTAGCTAAACTTCAATGTTAAAACCTGGATGACCTGTAATTTTCTAATGTTAAACTAAGATAAAACTGAAGTCATTGTTCTGGGGCCCAAGCACCTCCGTGACGCATTATCTGAAGAAATAGTTTCCCTTGATGGCATCGCCCTGGCCTCCAGCACCACTGTGAGGAATCTTGGAGTTATCTTTGATCAGCACATGTCGTTTAAGTCTCACATTAAGCAAATTTCAAGGACCGCCTTTTTTCACCTACGTAATATTGCGAAAATCAGGAATATCCTGTCTAAAAATGATACAGAAAAACTAGTCCATGCATTTGTTACTTCTAGGCTGGATTACTGCAATTCCTTATTATCAGGCTGCTCGAAAAAAGTCCATTAAGACTCTTCAGCTGATCCAGAATGCTGCAGCACGTGTTCTGACAGGAACCAGGAAAAGAGATCACATTTCTCCTGTTTTAGTTTCTCTGCATTGGCTTCCAGTAAAATCCAGAATAGAATTTAAAATCATTCTTCTTACCTACAAAGCTCTTAATGGTCAGGCACCATCTTATCTTAAAGAGCCATAGTGCCTTACTACCCCACCAGAGCGCTGCGCTCCCAGAATGCAGGGTTACTTGTGGTTCCTAGAGTCTCCAAAAGTAGAATGGGAGCCAGAGCGTTCAGCTATCAAGCTCCTCTCCTGTGGAACCAGTTCCAGTTTGGGTTCAGGAGGCAGACACCATCTCCACATTTAAGAGTAGGCTTAAGTCTTTCCTCTTTGATAAAGCTTATAGTTAGGGCTGGCTCAGGTGAGTCCTGAACCATCCCTTAGTTATGCTGCTATAGGCCTAGATTGCCTGGGGACTTCCCATGATGCACTGAGGTCCTCTCTCCCCTACTTTCTCTCCCTCTGTATGCAACCTCATCCCATTAATGCATGTTACTAACTCAACTTCTCCCCTTTCCGGTAGTCTTGTGCTTTCTCGTCCCTCTCCTCTCTCCTCCTATCACTTCCTGTGTGTGTTTCTGGCTCTGGAGCTGTGGAGTCTGGATCTGTGGTTGCGAGTCACCTGCTGCCCCCGTGTTCCTGCTCGACACCCTCTGCTACAACAACTATTGTTACTAGTCCTATTGTTATTATTGTTATTATAATCATTAACATTGCGATTATTATCATTAACATTGCGATTATTATCATTAACGCTACTTTAAATATCTGTACCATTTTTCATTTAGTCTGTAGCAACATCACCTTTATAAATAAAATTGAATTGAATTGAATTGAATTGATTTTAACCAGCTGTCTATCAAAACTCCAACAACTGCTTTTGCAAGAGCTTGTCAGTTAGCAGCAACAGTTTCTGCACTCATGTATTATCTTGTGTGATATACATCAGTGTTGTTGCAGTCATGAGTATATTTTCCTCAGCCAGTTAATTAACAGGTCCATGCTTCTGCTGACCGAAGTTTCCTCCACAACTACAATTAGACACAGTTACCTCTTCTCTCAGTCAACACACTGGTTTTCTCTTTCAATTTATCTGTCTCTCCACCGCCTATCTAAGTCCCCATCTCATGCCTCTCAGCCTCAGTGCTGCTTTGAGGCAGCTGGCCCTCATCGTTTCCTCTGTGAAAAAGCTTTCACACACAGAGTGACTTCTCAAGAATGTGAATGAAGCTACGAGGGGTCGTTTTCCATAACCTGTCAGCCATAACCCATGCTATGATATGGCAATCACATCACATGCATACACACGCAAGCATGCATACACACATACATGCTAAAAAACACAAAATATGTTTTTAGCAACAGAGTATTATGTACTGGCAGTCTTTTCCTCAGAGCAGTAAATAAATAATGAGAAGACTTTTAAAATTCCGCCAGTAGTCCTTTACTCTGTTGCTATCGGCCCTCTGCCTCCCCGCTCTATCTCTCTCCAAAGAAAGGAGGGCCTTGCTGGAAAGAAAGAGGCTGTTTTTGTTTTTTCAGGTATTTTTTTAGTCCTTTTGCTTTAATCTCCCCCTGTTCACCCGTGTCTTCAGTTCCTTTACTTCTCCCTTTCCCTTTTTACTCACCTTGAAAACCTTCTCTGCTGAGTCTTCATCAAATGCTGCTCTTGCTACCTCCTTTTTCTTTTACTCATGTATGCATAATATTTCCCATTAACATTTCTACAAGACAGAATTTCCCAATTCTTCTCTCGTGTACATTTTAGTAATGCACATCTCGCAGAACCTGACACATTGTCTTGGGGAATATTACAGGAACACTAAGACGTAAATGTCTTCTATCTTTATCTCTGCATTTGTGTTCGTTACTCAGGTAGAGTTGAGATCTGTAGAGGTATACTGATGTCAGACCAAAAGCAGAGTTTAGAAATAGAAGGGAGGTATAATCCAGGCTACTTGCCCTTCGTTCAGGTAGGAGCCAAGAAGGATAAGAATCAGTAGTGGATAGGCCTAACGTGAGATGAGAAGTGCCGCTAAGCTGGAAACAGATCATGATATGAGTTGCACAAGGTGGATCTGTCTGTGTAAATGTGATGATCTCTACTTTTCTTTGTTTTGCAGAGTGGGTAATTGATATTTCAGTGTATTTCCACATAACTGACCTTTTGAGTTGAAACGAAGATCTAAAGCAGACAGAGTGGGGCTGAGTGATGCACAAGAGCAACACATAACAAAACAAGGAGATGTCTGTCTGTGTATGTGTGTGTTTGTGTGAGTAAGTGTTAACTATGTGGGGTGCAGTCAAGGCTGTTAGTGGCTGTGCAGCATTAGGAGATGGGCTAAAATATGTGTAAGCCTGTTGAACCAGACACAGCCACCATGAAATCCTGTTTCAGACTGGCTTACAGCAAATATCGCAAGACGGGAGGTTGAAAATGTGTGTGTTTGAGAGAGAGACGTGACACAGCACTGCATGCTTACAGAAGTTGTTTATCTATTTCTTGGCAGCTGATAAATGACTCTCTGATGTAGCAGAGAGAGAGATCAAACACATGAAGATGGAAAAATAGGAAAATGACAGGTAGAAAATTACAGTATCCCCATAGAAAGGTCAAAGCTGAATGTGGTTGCGTACTGCAAACAAAAATCTTCTTAGTGTGTTATCAGCGACTAATCCTTTCTGCCCCCTGGACTGTCTCATTTCCCCAGCCCTGACAGGCACTGCAGTAAATCTGCCAGTAAAGATTTGTTTAATAGAAAATTAGCTAGTGAGTGGTGTTCTGATTGGGTTGTATCACTGGGTATACAGGAGATTCAGAATTTTAGTAACAAATATCTCCAAGGCTGGGCAGATACATAAAATGAAATATCTCCATATGCCCCCACCCCCCATCCCATCAGCAGGTCATTTTGATTACTGCAGAAAACCGTTGTTCCACCCCATCTCCGCTTCTCTGCTGCTCTCCCACACAGTCATTTGCATTTTCTCTTTTGGCTTTCTTCCATATCTTTTTCAATTCATCCTGTCACACCTGTTATTCACTTGTTTTTCCTCTTTTTCTCCCTCCCCTGTGTTTCTTTTCCCTCCTTCTCTGTGGCAGCTAAGAGCCTCATCTAAATGCATGGCCAGTCATGAGCTCTCTACCTGCTTTGGGCATTTTTACTGGTATGAAAAAGTACAATCATGCTTTTCTTTTGTAATATCCTATCATAATACCTCAAGGTGACGCAGGAATGCCATAAGATGAATGAACATATTCCTTGCTCGTCTGCATTTCTTGATAGTGCAGTGCATGCACACCTTGATATTTCATTTACTTTCGTGTAGCTTTGGTGGTTATCTCGTCCTGTCCTGCTCAAACTGTATGCATAGGCTCTCCAGTGCTTGTTCTCTTGCCTGCAGACAAGCAGAGAGAGGCAGGGGAGAGGAGAAAGTAAAGAGGAGGGAGAGGGTAGCAAATGAGGTGTGGGTAAAAAATATAGGAGACTAGAAAAGAGAGCAGTAGCCCATCCCTGGAAATGAGAAAGATGGTAGGGGGAGAGAGAGAGCGAGAGAGCGAGAGAGAAATTATACAGTGTAAAATCCAGATGAATTCAGCTTTAGTGGTAGTGCAGAGTACAGATCAGCGGGCTTCTTCACCGCTGGGGAACAACCGCCTTTTGTGTTCCCCCCACTGCAGTGGGGGAGTGCATTAACTGTCGCGCCCAAAGGGAGAAGCCAAGAAGTATCCTCCAATCAGCCGTTAGTGATTCTTCTCATCTTGTGAGGCTGCTGATGGTGATTTATCACTGACCTGAGACAGGCGCTGCACTCTGCTCAACCCTCTAACCACCTGGAATTCTCGCCATGGTTTATATTTCTTTTCTTAAACACAAACACCCTCCTGTGGATATTTCAAATAGAATGAGCAGAGGACAAAAGGATGATAAAAATGGACTTGCTGACTACCATTCTTGAAATTATTTTTTTGTTCCTGCTGCAGACGGAAGATGGACTAACTTTTACAGGTGCATTTGTGCCATTTGAGGACATAATGTTTAACTCAATGCTTTGATAGAATAGAGGCATTTTACAGATGTATTTGTTTCATACCATATTTTATTCTCAAAGCATGGCAAGCAAGGGATGATCCTAGACACTGCAATAATCATGTAGGACTGATATTCAGGTAAATAGAGGGATATGGTGATGGACAGAAGATGGAAATGGAGAGAGCACGCCTGCTGAGCACGTCTGACACCTCGCTTTAGCTTGATTAGCGCCTGCTCTCCTGAGTTTGACTATCAGGCTGTCTTTTCAAGTTATCATGTTCCTCAGTGAGTGGAGATAGCTTTCCGATGTGCTTGTGCATATGAGTATCTAACAGTGAGTGTGGTTTGTGTTAGGGTCCAGAGTTTGGGATTACACTGCCTCTAGAAAGGATACAGGTGTAGTGGAGCCTTGAATGAGGATTACCAGCTCTAACACCTTGTGGCTGGCAGTGCACAGGGCGATGGACCTTTTAGACAAGACTCTCAAGCTACGTCCGCGCTGACAGTTCACACAGGAGGATTAAATATATGAATACGAAGGGACTCAAATGCCAAGGAAGGGCACCGAAAGACAGTTGAGAAAGTTCTATTCAGATAATCCTTGAGGGCTGCAGACCGAGGCTAACCTTAGGGCGAGTGGAAGTTCCATATCAATAGACTGAGGCAATTTATAGTAGCTGGACAAGGACAATTCAAATACTAAAGCATGAGAGAATTTGTTTGTGAGTCAGTGAATATAAAGAGTATATCCACAAGCTGACAAAAAAACCTGCCTGAATAAATTAAATGATTAGATACATAAAGGGAAAAATTGAAGGTACTTTGATAAACAATCTTGATTTCCCCAATAACCCAGCAAGCACAAAATCCAATTGATCCATGAATTGGTTTGATATTGATTTCTCTACACAGCCAGGATAGAGTCTTGTCTGATCTCTGTTTAAGAGGTCACTAATTTAATTATAATCCATCATTCAGTCACACCCTTGAGCAGTGGGACAGAGTGCTGAGTACGCTGCAGCTTAGAGAAATCAATGGTCTTATACTTGTCATGATATCTGACAACAGATCAGATAAACACAATGCGTTCCTGCTCAGTCTAAAATGACTTCTGCATTCATGGCAGATTTGCTGACAGTTGTAGATAATTTGCCAGCTTGTGTGTGTAGCTAGTCTTGTAGTTGAAAGAAGCGCATGTTGTTGACAGCCTTGATGTGTGTTAAATCCCGGGCATACAGCTTATCTTAGCTGCACAGCGAAAGATCCTGGCTAATGGTGTAATGGTCACCACCTTGCATCACCCAACCCGCCCCACTTAAGGTTAAATTAGGAATTGCCTTCAACAATGCATTGAATCTGAAGTGGAGCACTAAAGCAAGGGGAAGCGAGTCCTGACAGGGCTCTCAGGAGGAGAAGTTATCTCAGCAGCCACTTTCAGCAACCCTTCAGCCATCCTGGAAAGCAGAGGGTATAGTAGGCTGGAAGCTCTGTGTGGGAGCGAGGAGAACAGGAGGAAAAACAGGGCTGAGGCAAGTTGTTTGATAGCTGCATTGTTTGTATCTACCTTGTTCAAAGAGTATTGCTGAAAGTGTACTGTTTGGAGGTTTGCTGCGAGTGAACAAACTCAGGAACAGCGTGGGAGAATTCAGCTGGAGGTCTGCTTGGAAAACTTGCTCTCTATTGCGGTTTTCAACATTAATGACCAAACAAAGGCAGAGGACAGCAAGTATACTGCATGTATTTATCACTTTTGAGAAGTCACTACAAGCATTGATTTGTTTGAAACAACTGCAGAATTTAATCACATAAGGACAAACCAGCAGGACTCTCCTCCTAGATTCCAAGATTACAGTGAAACTGGATGATCCACAACAAGCACATGAACTTTAACAAGCAAATTGTTTGCCTACAATGGAGACAGGAACAAACACATGTTGTTGCAGCAGTGAAACTACTTCCACATTTAAATTTACCATGGATTATAACACTTGAAATTTGAGCAAGAAGAGGAGAACAGTGACACACCCAAAGAAACTGTGTATTCATCCCCAGCAGGGATGTGCTGTGTGTTACTCTGAGGAGGAGTAGTGTAATATACCACAACCCTGCGAATGAGGGTGGGGCCCCTTCCCACTGCCACAGACAAAAGACCTTGATAGAGAGAGTCCTGTTGTGAGAACTGATCATCTGGGGCAAATTTGAACTGGCACAATCCAGCACCGTGTCAAAAGTCACAATGGGGTGCAACATGTGTGTGGTTCAAAAGCCTGAGGAACAATACAGGGTCATGTTCCAGGTGAGCACTCTGTCTCCTCTCTCTCTCTCTCTCTCTCTCTCTCTCTCTCTGTCTGCCTTGTTTTAATTTCACTTCGTCAAGCAAAAGCATATCTTTATAATATATAGCATATCTCTAAAGTTTTCATTGTTATTCTGTCTTAACTTGGCCCTTTCTTACAGTGATGCTGCTGGGTGAGTGACAGTCAAAACAGCTGTGATGAAAATGTTGTGATTTCTATCTGCAGCAACAGACAGAAATGAACCAAAATTCATCATGTCAACACACTCATTTAATCACAAATTACTCACATATTAATTTCCTAATAACCCATTTTCGGTCCAAATTAATTTAGCAAATATCAATCACAGCATTTTGTATTAATGGAAATGTCAAGTAAAGCATCATCAGGTAATTCACAAATGAGTCTAAAAACACTATTAGCAGCATTATATCCTGTAAACAAACCATGATAATCACATTGCATCGAGCAATTAATAAAATGCATTAGATGAATTGAACAGTGGATGCATCAAACATGACTGATGGATTTCACATCTCACCTTTTTGCTGGACTTTTTGCCATGCTTTTAATGTATTTAAATTAGCCTTGAAAAGGAAGAGTAAAATACTTCCTCTTGAGTACCTCTTGAGCAAGGCTATCAGTTGCTGTATTGAAATAGTCATTCGGTGATGACAATACTGATAATTATGATAATGATACATTACTGTGATTACAATGATTATGATCAGAGAGAGCAGAGCAGAGCCAAGAAAGAGAGCAACACTGGCGTGGAGAAAGTAGAGTGGTGCAGAGCCACAGCGGCAGCGGGATGGATGGGTTGTTAAAGCTGAGGTAAAGTGTTATGGGAGAGAGGGGTTGCCACGGTTACAGCCTCAGTACCACCTGCCAATTGGGACCACAGACTATGTGTGAGTAAACTCGTCTGGCTGTGCAGCGCCTAAGGAAGCTCCTGCTCTGTGACTCAATGATACATGCAGCGACCAAAAATAAGTCCCATGCTTACTAAGCATGAAAAATGCTCAGCACTCACGGGTATGCAGCGCAACACTTTTAGTATCTGTGGCACCAGAATACTCAGCTGGGTCTCTCTAGCATGTTGGAGTCTGGGTCTGGGCCAGTTAACTGGTCTGCATCTGTTGCCAGAGGCGATGGCAAGAGAGGAAAACATGGAGAGAGACTGAGTCCAAATAGAGGATCTGTAAGGAGTCAAGGAGGGAAATAAAGTCAAAATAGGCAAATGAAAGAGGGAGGGAAAGTCAGACTGTTTTTCTTTCTTTCAGTCTTTTTTTGTCTTCTGTTTTGCCCTCAGACATCAGAAGTAATTGATTTGAGCCCTTAATGGAGCAGGGGTAAATAGAAATGGACTTCACAAATCCCCAAGGTGAAGTGCTCGAAAAATCAGGAGCGAGGTGATGTGTGCAGTCTGGGATGTGATCATAAAAGTAGAGCAGGGCCAGTGCATTTCATAAGCAGTGACCTTATTTAACCGGGGTCAGCAGTAATGACACTGACCGCATGCAGGTCAACGTCTTTGAAAGTGAAAATCAAATAATTCCACTGATCTGGCAATGTGAGGTCAACTGTGCCCGAAGGTTGTGTCCCTAGAAGTCTGACATCCCTTGCAGCTCTGTCAGGCGGAGCACCTCCACGTGGCTCCTAGCTGGGTGTGGTGATGAGCGAACAGTGAAGGCGGGAGATAGGTTGTATGATTTGGAGTATGCAAAGGAGCTGTCATGTTCAGTGCAACACTATTGTATGAATATTGGTTGTATAAGTAGAGCAGATACTTTGGGGCAGTGGAGCAGCAAGTCCGCATATTTTGTGGTCTGGTAAGACTGAAACGACACTGCTGGCTGGGAGCAGAGGAGCATGAGACAGAGAGAACAAACGCAGATGGAGTTCTGAACCAGAGCCACAGCCCTTTGTCTTTTTAGGCTGACTAGTAGACTGCAATAAGAATAAACGTAATGGTACCTGGAGGTCTCATATTAGAAGCATGAGCGTGTGTTAAATGGCACAAAAAGTAAAATAAAATCCAAAATTCTAAAGGGAGGTAATCACAGACCCATAAATGTTTTTCACCCATAAAATTCAATCTCAGTTATTATATGTAATCATTACAAACTGCAATTCTTGCTGTGCAGATGGCTGATTAATCCAAATATCATGTCAAGCCAAATGGGGAGGTATACGCTATCAAATCATTAAAAAAACATCATAAAAGAGGAAACATAATTACATTTCCCCCCACATTTCATGGCGTTTCCCTTTAGAGGTTTGCAGGTTTGAGCTGTTTTCCTTAACTAACACCTTCAAATTAGATGCAGTCTACTGAGTAACTGTCTTTAGACAATAAATACAGCATTAAACAGCTTGCAGCTACATCAGACTGGAAAACCAGCCTGTTAAATTTGGCTATATCAAAACAGTTGCCTCTTTCTTGCCAAAGGAATAAAATTCATGCATTATACATTGGGCCTCTGCTACACATACGCTGCACACTGGTGGTTGGTACACACCCTTTGGCATGTTTCTGATCAATTTTGCCTCCTAAAGCCCCCCAAAAAAGGCATTTTGTCAGTCAGATGACAAGTTACAGACTCAGTTGTCGACTTATGTTATATTGCATTTTATATTGATTGTAGTTGTACCTGACCCAGACACACATACATATACAGTAAACCTCTGGCCCCCTGAGCCTTTCAGCCACTCCCTTCTTTTTCTCTCCCTCGTCACTGTAAAGCAGGAGTCTGTTTCCATGGCAACTGGTGTCATTAAACAAATGCAATGTGCTTTATGTGCTTCACAATTACACAAAGAAACATGCTGACAGTCACAAGAGGCAAACAGATGAGAATCAATACATACCAATGACCAGCTGACATTCGCTGGATAAGTGCACAGTTGCCTTGTGTGTGAATGGCTACCCACACATGACCTCTGTCATACTAGAGGTGGACAGAATAAAAATTGTTGCGACAATATAATGTGATGCAACACAAGAGCACCACAAACTAGTGTCTCAACAAACACTGAGCTTCTCAAAGGCATTATGCATTGCATATATGCTGTATTAGATTGCATCATACTGTCAGGTAGTCCTGTTACGTTGTCCACCCTCCAATATTTGCTTGTAATACTGTCACTGCACTTTGCACTAACATAATGCTCCCAAAAGTTGTTTCCATTAATACCATCAGTAACACTTTAATTAACTCCCCCTATTCAGCATATGTAAGCTGTCATTAAACATTGTTTATAACACATTATAATGTAGTTGTAAGCAGATATATGGGTGTTTGTACATGTTCACAATTATAAATTCTCATACGGAGACATTTCTTAGTAACTGTGTTATATTACATTGTCATTCATTATCTGTTTATACACCAGCATCCAGTTATGGAGGCTTTACAGGAGGAGTTAAAGCTGTCAACAGCTACCACAACAAACACTTAAAAACTTAAGCTTAAAACTACATTACAATGTGTTATAAAATATTTATTAAATGCTAAACAGGGGGAGTTAAAATAATGTGTTACCCATTTACTCTTTTCTTACTCTGTCTTTACTTTCACATTACTCTCACAACTAAAATGTCTAAATTTCCATCTAACCTTTTGTGTTTATTTTTATCAAAGCTTGAGATGTCATATGACTGCTCTGTCTTCTTAATTTAAAATGGTGCCCATTACCTTTTGGCTGGTGGGCTTCTTTTTATGTCAAGAGTGTGTCAGTTTGCTAAGGTCAAGTGCAGGCTAGTGTACGTAATATGTATGTGCCTGTTGGGTTCCTGCTCTTTCCCTTGCAGACTTCTCAGGCATGTGACTGACATGGAGACGAGACAGGAAGGATGCTGATGGAGAGGATGTCACTCTCATCTCTCATTTAATAGGACGGGATTGACAAAAAAGAAAGGGTGGAGGGCATTAACTGTGACATGTTGCCATTTTACAGACCTACTCGCTGTTCCTCCTCCACCAGTGAAAACAAATCTGCCCCATAATTCATCCTTTGCTCTAACTGAATATATTGATAATTGATGTATATTCACATACCCCATACTCCCACTTGGGCTTGTTAGCTTCACCACCATCATTTCAAAGAATGTTTGAGCATTTTTTAAATCAATACCTTCTCACTGTTTTCAGTTTATAATAGGCTATATCATCCCCTGCTTGTCCATTTAAATTAGCTCAGAGGTATCAAACAACAGGGGTTATAGCTGGGGTAGGTCAGCTCCAGCTCCAGATTAATTGATTTTCTGAGGAGGACGACTGCTCCAGCCTTCAAAGCATGGGAGATGAGAAAAATCAATTACCGAACAAGTAAAATTCCGAATGAGCTTTGGCATGAACACTGTGGAAATGCACATAAATCCAGGTTTGGGAAAAAAACTCTGTGATGCTGGAAGGACAAAATTCACCATATGGGCACATTTCAGATTAAGAGTGTGCTTGCTTTGTGTATTTGTCCACACACTGAAGGCTATGTGTGGCATAATGCTAGTTACTGTGGAGTTAGTCTTCACCCCCGCATGCCCCCTTTCATCTCCGCCTGTTGTACGGGTTTTATTTGCTCTTTAAAGGGCTTTCAGATAAAAAACTAATTATGCAGCAACCAGTTAGCAATTTCCCATGAGCTTCCATTGTGCTTCTGTTTACATACAAATACTGAACCCATAGCCGGGTTCACTCGCTATTTACATTCAATTCCTTGAAAGCTTGTTTTCTACATTTCTCCTGCATCATTACCCTCTCCTCACCTCCCTTTCTCCTTGCTCCCTGTGCACTCCCTCCGTGTCTCCCCTCCTTTGCTTTCTCTCTCTACACTTTGAACTCTTTGCATGTCTTTCATCTCTACATCATTCCCATCCCCACCCTCAGCTCCACAGCCCGCCGCTGATCCCACCACCGCTCAACCACCATAACCAACCCCCTACTGTGAATTTTGGAGGCTAGCAATTTCTCTGAATTTAAATTAAATTTTTACCACAAAAATACAGAATAAGGGTGGGGTGTGGGGATGGGTGTGCACCCGTTGTTATTTGCATTACTTGTGTCCCTTATAAACAGTGGGCGTATGTAATGACCTTCTAACCCAGAGATAATAGAAAACAGAAAATGGCAAGAGTGTAATGGATTATCCCAGTCAGGGCCGAAAAGCTGTTTAATACACAACAACCATTACCCTGCATGAAGTCATCTCAGCACCTCTCATCGATAATGAATGAGAAATCCCCATCTCCATGCTCTCTTAGTATTCATACCTGTCACTCATGACCACGGAGCTTGTTCCTAATAGCCTCTCTCTGATCCTGGTGAGCTGAGCCGTGTGGTCATGAGCACAGAGAGCTGAAACAATAGATACCTCCTGTTGTATCTATTCTCTCCTCAAAAAGACAATGAAGTGAGAACTAAAATAACAATGCACTTTGGTGAAGATTATTAAGGTGTGTTTTTTCTCTAACATGCAAACTACACACTGTTAATTCCATCATCACCAATAGGCCATGTAGGGAGGAAGCATCTTATGTTTGAAGTGGAGAGGCTCATTAAAAGAGACTGAGATTTATGATGGGACATTAGCGTGAGGAAGGACACAAATACACACAAGGAGATGGAACAGCTGAAATAGATGGAAAGAGTGGAGTGTAAGTTGTCATCTCCAGGGAAGGGAAAGAACAGGAAGACCTGCTGAGGTCAATTTAATAAAACCGGAGTCTGGTGAAAACAGGAAAGAGAAGAAAGCAGGAGTTGACATCGGTAGAGAGGGAGAAAGAGAAAGGGAAATGAACATGAGCATGGAAACACAATGGCAAGGCAGGAATGATAGACCACAGGGACGGCAGTGGTGGTGGTGTACAGTATGAGAGAGAACCGAGAACCAACCAAAAAAAGGGAGCAGGGGCTGAATGTGGCAAAAATGTTTTTTTGCTTGGCTGCACATGGGAACATTGATTTGACATGCAATTACTGGAAGGGGACAAGAGAAGAGAGAGGCAGAGGGAGAATGAAGCTTGGTGGTAAAGATGTGGAGAGCTGCAGACAGCCAAGGTCAGTGAGTGTGTGCAACATGAATGAGACTCTACAAAGGCTGTCTGGTTCAGTAACTGCCTGCGACTCTCATTGCCACACGAGCATCATCATGTAACTGTCTGTCTCATGTAATAAAATCAAGAGAATTAAAATCTGTCTTCATGCGTTCATTTGAAAATGTAGAAAAATTAGTTAATTCAAATGACTGGTCCATTCCAACAGTCTCCAGCCATGCTGGCGGCTCTATGAGGCTGCACTTAAACCAGTGGTTCTCAAACTTTTTCTGTCATGCCATAAAATACATGATTCAGGTCAGCATGAAAGCATGAGCAAACTCTTGGTTTTTATTTCCATTCATTAATTATGCTCATTAAACTTAGCTCCCCTCCCATATTTTCCCCTGGTCACCACCAACCACTGATACACATAACAGTGTTTTGAGCTAAATGCTATATCAGCATGCTAACATGTTCACATTGAAAATGCTAGCAGGTATAACATTGATCATGTTCACTGTCAAAGTAGTTTAGTGCATTATGCTTACATTTGCTAATTAGCACTAAACAAAGTAGGCTCTAATTGAGGGTGATTGAAAGGTCATTAGTTTTGGACCGAAACCAACCAAAGTAGACCTATTAAATAAATAAAAACTTTAATCTACTGGTGGCGCTATAAAACAAGCTAGGGATTAGCATTACCAGAATTGTTACACTTGAGGAGTATGGACACACACAGTAAGCCAGATAGAGAGATGAAAAGTTTGACCTGCTGGTGGTGCTAGAGGAAAATCCAGGGGGAAGCCAAGGTCTTTAGAATTCATCCAATAGCTTAGATATTTAGTATAGCTAAAAACTGTTATTATAAACTGAATCAGGTATTGAATACTGAATGAATCTTTCTCCTTTAGGTTTATGGGAAGTCTTGCTTGATTTGACCAGGATTGTTTTGGTTCAGCCACCCTGAAGTCAAATCCTTTTTAATAGTGTTTTGATTGCTTTATTTTCAATAATCTTTCATTATCAATGTCCCTTTCTGTCTTTCTTACTGTATGAACTAGCAGTGGTGGGAAAGAGGGGAGATCTTTCACACCCCACCAGATTTGGCTTTCAGTAGCACCCGAGAATCAAAACACATATTGTAATGCTGCTGTATGATGAGTATTTATACCGTATATATGAGGACTATTTAAATGAACTGTCAATGGCCACAAATAAGGGGAGAGAGCTTTGGAAAAAAGGAATCATCAATAATACTGTATGTTACAGCTAAAAGTGTTTATTTCTCCAAATCAAAATGCTTTTATTATTTAAATATATTTGCAGCAAGGAACCATTTCTAATTCACACAAAAGAAAGATAGCAGTGTTTTGTAGAAGAGTGTTCCGCAGGGCTAGAGTGTGCAAAACTAATGTACTAAGGAAACTCATTTTTATTTCTGTGACTGTTAACTTGAATTTATGTTTGTTGTCTTGAACTACAGTGGAATTTTCTCCCTTGTGAAAAAAAAATGTCTCTTGCCATTTTCCAACCACTCACAGTAGTAATTACTTTCTAACCACCATTTCTCCGGCTTTCTTTCCCTCTCTCCACAGAAGGGTCACATAAGCAACATGTTGTGCTCTTTTGACGCTGACGGTCGATTAAAGGTCTCAGTATACAGCTTTCTGCTCTGCTACTTGGTGTAATGTGGTGTCTAAATCTTTTAGATACAAACCTGTTTTTTTTGGTCTCTGTGTGTCTGTAGAAACACTTTCAGCTGTGTTACAGTTTATACTGTTCTAGTTTTCAGTTGACTAACATAACCTCAGTCTTTCTTTGTTTTAGGTGTGTGTAACTGTAGTTCCACTCCTGTTCTCTGTGGTTCTGTGAGGCAGTTTTACTTCTGTGAACTAACCTTGTCTGTCTGATAAAACTGCTGATGTTGGTCTGTGTGTTCTGTCTTCCTTCCTTCGTGTTATTCATCTTAGCATCTATCTAGTCTTTTCACTATGTAAAACTCAGTTTTCTGACCACTTTTGAAATTTTTGTCTGTTTCTTTTTCTGGTTTCTGGGTCCCACAATGGTAAAGATTTAGAAAAGATTTAGATTTAGAAAAATATTCATTTTACACCTTGTTTCTTTGTTTTTCCCTGCACCAATTCTCCTTTAATTCACTTTACCCCTCCACCTTTTCTCTTCCTCTTCTCCTCCTGCTCCTCCACCATTTGCTCTTGACTATCTGTGTTTTCCAGGTGAATGGAAAGGAGCTAACTCGCCTTTCTGGGGATCCCACCCTGGACATACGGGACCCCGTACTGTCCAGCATACTGAGGCGGGGGGCTCGCAGACGGGCAGGCCTAGCGGGAGCTCCTGGAGGGTTAGTGCCAGTGACCATGGGCATGGCCGACTGTGTAGACAGCTGCACTCAAACAGACATCAGCTTCCAGCATATGTTGACGCTGGGCAAGAGCAGCCAGCATCCCTGTGGAGCTCCCCCTCCACCCGACCCTCCGCCATCCCCTCCATTACCACCGTTACTGGAGCCATATTTACTCAATGAACTGTGAGTAGGAGTAGTATAATAGGGCTGTGCAGCATGTCCAACTGTCAGACCACAACTCATCTGTCTTCTTGGTTCTAGTCCATGCAATTCTGTTCACACATTTGAAGTTTGACGTTGCCCCAATTACTGAAATATTATGTCCTAAATATATTATTCTCAGCTTTATAGAGCCTGTATACTATGACCCCACTGACTACTTCGATATCACTCAGCACGAAGTGGACAGGCAGGATGAGCTGGAATATGAGGTGAGAGCCCATTAGCTACTCAGAACTCTGGTACAGAAAGCTGCCCCACTGTTCTCCGTCTGACATCCTCAAACATTTCTCTTGTCTGCTCTAGGAGGTGGAGTTGTATAAGTCTCGACAGCAGGATAAACTCGGACTGACAGTGTGTTACAGAACCGATGATGAGGAGGACCTGGGAATATATGTAGGAGAGGTGAAGATGGTCTCATGAAATCAAATTTTCAATAAAGCTTTCCAGTTTGTTTTTACTCATAAACAAATCCATATTTTATTCCAGGTGAACCCAAACAGTATTGCTGCAATAGATGGACGCATCCGCAAGGGAGACAGAATACTACAGGTGCAGGTTTCCTAAATAGTATACTGGAGCGAGATACCTTTATATGCTCTTACTACCTAAATGAAAGCACTTTTATTAATGCTGCAAGGTTGTAAACTCTTCACAGCAACAGTTAAACCAACAAAACCAATTTTTTAAAAGCTTTTAAACATTCATGTAATGAATGAAAGTGAAATCTTAGATAACCCATGGTCAACAATAGAGATGAAGTCAAGTCACTTTTAATCCAGCCATATCCACATATTAAAAGAAATTGCTAATCATGCAGCATTTATTCTGAATTCTTTCATAAGAGGTGAAATGTTGAGTAATGATTACTCTTGCTATTAAGCTAGAGAGAGACTTACTTTTCAATAAAGAACTATTTCCTGAATGGAGTAATTTAATTGAATCTAGCCTCGGTATAAAAGGTCTTTCGTTATCTGACATTAACTCAATTTTATCCTCGTCTTTCTCTGCCAGATAAATGGAGTGGACATCCAGGACCGAGAGGAGGCAGTAGCTATTCTCACCAGAGAGGACAGCACTAATGTCTCCCTGCTCCTTGCACGACCTGAGATAGAGGTGAGGAAATTGAATATGCGGTCTTCGGGGAGCGCGCTGCAAGGCTCAGCCTGAATACTGACCTAAAAAATGCATTCTTCTCCCTTTATCTAGCAAGAATTAAGTGTACATGCTTACATATGTGAAGGTAATGCTCTATGTGAACATTTAGTCATGAGATTGGGGAGGGAGGCAGTACAGTCAGAAAAGGAAGAAAAGGAATTGGGGACACAAGGAAGAGCATGGTCCTCTGCTTTGTCCTATTCCACAACCTGGCTTGTGTAAGGAGGCAGAAAAGCAAAGAGGTGCAAAAACATGATGACAACACAGATAGCGAGAAGAGGGTGGCAAAGACAAATAGTGCTCATACTCACAGTGCTAATGTGGCAGCGCTTTGTTTCTCTCAAGGTCACTCTTCTAGCAGATATGAGGGCATTGTGACACTCTCAATAACACACATCTGCCAAAAATACTAAACAAACAACTTGACACACATCGACCCAAGCATGCCACTGTAAAAATGAGCTGCAGATGGAGGATATGTGAGAATACAAAAATCTGTATGCTGTCTGCATTTGTACAGAGGGAGCTAAAGGGCAGATTTAAAAGTCCCTCATTAAATTGGTCTAAGTCAAAGACACACACACACACACACACACACACACACACACACACACACACACACACACACACACACACACACACACACACACACACACACACACACACACACACACACACACACACACACACACACACACACACACAAATAACCTCTCCTCTGTTCAAATATGTCCTTGTATTGAAATATACAAGTACCTGTGAAAGGCTGACAAGATTTATATTGCCAATGCATGGTCCCGCATTAAGATTCCAGTGAGAGAGGGGAGGACGAAGAATCATCAGAGGGAAATGCACAAGCAGAGATTAAAGCTTGATCTGTTGTCTTAAGGGAGGGAGAGAGGGAGAACTGAAGGGAGTTGTCGGGGAATAAGAATGAAGATGAAGATAATCAATACTTTGTCTTGCAGCCTGCGTGGTGTTCAACTCAAACCAGTTAGCGAAGATCAACTGTGCACTGACAAGGGAATTGTTTACTAATTTAAACCCATGTATTTGCATTGTATCTAAATGGCAAAGTAAACAGATCAGAAACAACTACAGGTCTTATTAAGTATTATTCATCTGTAAAGATGGGATAATTCTGGATGGACATTTCATCCACTAATACAGAATGCTTGTCTATGAAAAATATATTTCCTTGCTATTAGGCAGTTCATGTTTGGATGTAGATCCAAATTCTCTGCAGACAAATTACTCAATGGAAACCAAACTCAGTTGCAGAGTATTGATGTGATGTTAAAATCTCACATAGCACTGGCTCCATCTAGTGACAGAAAGGAGCACTACTCTTCACCTCAGAAATGTGCTGCCCTCAACGTTAAAGCTGCTATAATCAATATTTACACTAATAATGGATGAAATGATGAGTTTAATATGAAAGGGGTCACTCTTTATCCTACAACTCTGTAGTTTCCCTCTATGAGGCAGTGTCTCGTGGTTCATTGTTTTTGTTTTCTGGCCAGCAATTTTATGTTTTTGGTTCACTCTCATCAACGTGGTTTTCGGCTGGTGCAGGTAGCTGGTGAACATTGTGGAGCATTTCTCTGCTAAAGAGCCAGATATTTCCCTCAGGAGTGAGCAGAGAGCAAAACAAAGCTAAAAAGAGAGGCCTTACTACTAATGCTCTATATCTGCTGAATGTGTAACAATTTTCTAAGAAGTTCACTGTATTAATTTAAAAGGTGTTGCTTTATATCAATCTTGTGTTTAGAGCTTGCATGTATTACTTGCTTGAATGTATTACTTTAAAGCATTAAAAATATTGTTATGTTCAATGTTAAAGATTCCCTTGAGACTTATTTTAAGACATATTAAATTCTGTAGTTTGAATTATAATTAATGTCTAGTATGGCTTTCCCACAAAAAGATTTCAATTACCTGGTTAAAAATTCATAAAAAATACATCTACTTCTTCTCCATCCTCAAATATGTATGCAATTTCTATTTTATTTTAAAGGTATATCTACTGGACACAAAGTCAATTCTCAGATTATGTGTATGTATTATACGTGAACTGGGGTTTTCAAGTTTCCACATCACGCTTGTGTAATTTAAATATTGAACCACAATTGGCTTCCAAGCCACTCCACTTGTGATTACTTATCTTGTCCATACAAGCTTTGTCCAAACTCAGATTTAAGGTGAGCACAGAGAAACTTTACATTTTCAGCAGATAAATGTGAAAACATCTTTCCAGTGTCAAGCTCGGCACAAATGTCTACAGTTCAAATATCCAAGTGAAGTAACAAGAAGCAAAACACATTTTTGAGTAGAGGCTTTTTAAACCTTCAGATATATAACAACATTCTAATGCATAATTTCCTTTTGTCTTTTGTTTGTCTCTTCAACAATGAACTTTACACCTCTATTGCCATGCCATAACCTGAATTCAACGAACTATGCCTGGTACACCTTTACCTGTCAGAATGACAACCAGTTGGACCCAGATGAGCTGGACCTGGAGCCACTGGACAATGCTATTAATCTGCCCAGCAGCCACAGACTGATTCACAGTCTGGACTGTGCTGGAGCAGGCACTGTTGCTGATGCGGGTATACTAGGTAGCCACGGTCGCTCAATGAACAGGGTTTCACCTGATTTGCTCCAGACGGTGCTGAGCAACAGCCAGGAGCTGGACAGCGGGGTAGGCCGTACAGATGAAAGCACACGTTACGAGGAGTCTTCAGAACATGATCTTCTGGGAGACGACCACACTAGTGCCTCCAATACCAACACCACCAATACTCCTGGCAGCATGCGTAAGTTTTTGTCTGGCAGAGGCGACACCCCACCCTTGCTGCACTCCCAGGACCTCCAGTTCAGCACTGACTCCCTCTTAGGGCTTGACTGTGTTAATGGAGGAGGGCTGGAACAGGTGGAGCGATTGGAGAGGGCCTATGTGACAGATTCTGTGAGGATGATGATGCCTGGGCTGACTGAGGAGGAGTGTGAGAGGTACAAAGAGCTCCTAGAAATCAAGTGTTACTATGAGAGGAACAGTAATGATCTGATGCTTCTGGGAGGTCAGGGGCCGGCACAAGAGGAAGGGGGTGTTTCACTGGATGTGAATAGGAATGAAAGCCTGACGCAGCATGAGATGGCCCTTCTGGAAGAGGAACTGCGCCACTTGGAGTTCAAGTGTCGCAACATCTTGAGGGCTCAGAAGATGCAACAGCTGAGGGAGCGCTGTCTGAAGGCTTGGCCTCTCGAGGACAAGAATGGAGCAAGTGCAGGGGCCGGAGTAGGAGTTGGCCGCTTGGACATTAATGGTACTTTGGTCAGTGAGGATTCCTGTCACCATGCTCTATCAGACATCAATGAGCTCCCAGAGAGGGAGCGCTCTGATAAGGACAGCACGAGTGCCTACAACACTGGAGGGGAAAGTTGTAGAAGCACCCCTCTGGTGAATGAACAGTACCCATCACCCTCAACACAGAGCCTGAATGGAGGAGAGTCTCTTTTCACAGCAGGTATGGAGCTACCAGCCTCCACTAGGCAGAGAGAGAGAGGAACCAGGGCCGAAAGAGGGGACGGGGTAAACCTCAACCAAACCTACTCTCCCCATGCTCAAAGGAGAGGAGACAGCCCCGGAGCTAAGGTTAGGTCCCTGTCACGAGATGCAGCAACCAGGAGGGGGTCAGATGGAGGGGTGAGGCTTAACCCTAAAGCCAATGGGACACCTGAGAGGGCTGGTGGATGCAGTGCGGAGAACAGCCCTTACCTGTCTCGCCGTCAGACAGAAACAAAGCTGCCTCAGCGCTACCTGAGCTGCATGCAGCTGAGGTCTCCGTCCACCTCTGAGCGGCTCTGTGGACTCAGAGATGCTCCCAGAGAGGGCAGCATGGAGACTGGGGGTGATGCCAGCCCAATGAGCTTGGGTAGCACATGTAAAGATGTTGTCCAGGTCCCAGGTGCTGTACCCTTACCCATGTCCCCTTCAGTGCTGCCTGCCTCCCCTCGTATGGAGTGGAAGGTGAAGATCCGTAGTGATGGATCGCGCTACGTGGCCAAAAGGCCTGTGAGAGATCGCCTCCTGAAGGCGCGTGCCATGAAGATCAGAGAGGAGCGCAGTGGCATGACAACGGATGACGATGCTGTGAGTGAAATGAAGATGGGCCGCTACTGGAGCAAAGAGGAGCGCAAGCAGCAGCTGCTAAAGGCCCGAGAGCAGCGGCGGCGCAGGGAGTTCATGATGCGAAGCCGTCTCGACTGCTTGAGAGATCGTGAGAGGGAGCAGGGCAGCAGTGGTGGAGGACAGCAGGGGACGACACAGCAGCAAGAACCCACCTCCATCCTGGAGCTGTGCCACCGCAGGAACATGAAGAAGCGCAGTCGCAGAATCCTGGACAACTGGATCACTATACAGGAGCTACTGGCCCACGGGACCAGGTCTGCTGATGGGAAGAAAGTCTATAACCCCCTGCTGTCTGTCACCACAGTCTGAGATAAGATAGAGAGAACAGAAGGAGGTAGAGAGTTAAGCAGAAATAAGAAAGTGCCAAAGTCCTTTGATGGGGGCTATAGGATGAACACAAGCTGCTGTACACACTGGCACAAATATTTGTCTGCAGGGATGCAGCAACATTCTGAAACACAAAGTACCTGATGGTAATATAAAGTAGCATATGTTAGGCCCCAACCTAAAATGTTTTGATTGAAGAAAAGCTCATGCCTGAGACTGCCAGGGATTGTGTGTCTAGTAACAGTATGTATCTTCCCAAACAGAAAGATAATACACACATTTACAATTTTGTGGAATTGAAGCTGCATTTCAGAAATACATTCCATGATCTCAAATGCAGATTTACAAACATACTACAGTACTTTTTAAATACAATGTATTCCCCTTCAATTTTGTCTGGTTATGTGGACCTAAACCAGTCAGGAAAACACTTCCCAGCCATTTTCATGATGCTTTACCTCTCACAGAAGACAAAGGGGAATCATGTAATTCTTCATCTTACACAGGAACCTGTACCAGCTTGTCAGATTTGAAATCTGGAAGAGCAAAGATTAGCATTTTCAGTGGAGTCCATCAAGTAACATATTCACATTCATTCAGCCTTCTTACATAAAGGAGAGGGTGTGAGAAATGGCACCACCTGCTGTTAAGCCATAAGTGGTGCACAACTTAAAAGTAATCTTTGCAGGCCTCTACATTTTTATGGAGTAAAATCAAAAATGGAGAAGAACCATGCAGCTGTGAAAACATGTGAAAAGCCACTTTTGTGCCATAAAACTGTGTGTTTAGTGTCCATAAAGGCGTTTTGAATAAGGACATTTTCAAAAGAACATTGTGTGCCAGTTACTGTCGTTTTTTTCATTCTTGCTGTGTACAAATGCTCCTTTGTTTTGACACAGGAAATGCAACATCATTGTCAGACCACAGGCCCTTTCTGATAATGAAGAGCTGAGCGGTGCCTTCCTTTCAGGCAGACTTGACTGTATAGCACAATTTTTAAAGCGATACAAAAAAGCTGTAAAATTCTGTAGCTGAGTGGGTAAATGCTGAAGCACAGAGCAGCTGACCGGCTTAGCTTTTTTAAAGAAAGGCACTTTGTCATACAAAGCACAGAAAACATTTGATATTGCCGTTTCATTCCAAAAGGCACATTTGCTATTTAAATAGATAAAACACCTTCAAATCATTTTTCTCCATTTGCCATTTTAAATGTTCCTTTTTTGAGACCAATTCATTTTGGTCAGTATGCAATTTGATTGCGATTGAAGATTGTCCTTAGCTACGAAAAATCTCCTGTCAAGTGGATCTGAAGCTAAATCAACTGTTCTGTCATTCCAGTCAGATGTGTCACTCCCAAACATGATTTGAGGTTTTTACTTTTTAATTCTGTGCTCTCAGAACTGGCCACTGGATAATTATCCAGCAAAGTAACTAAAATGACAATGATGGCCAATAATGGGGTGACTAATTTATAAAATCATATGAACAAAAGCTCATTTCATTTGGCTTACATGCATGTTTGATATTGAGGCAGAAGTGTCCCCCCCCCCCCCCCCATGTACGACTAAAAGCCTTTAACATAATGTAATTGTGGATGTGTCTTTCTATGATCTTACTTAAAATCCTAGCATAGAAAAAGAAAACATGGTGTACCTGTTCAATATTGTGATGTCCTGTGTCTGCCATTTCACAGTGAAAGCTTTTCTAAATAAATGCTGTGATAATGAATGAAAAACTATATTGGTACTTTAATGGCTGCTCTGTGTCAAGGTTTTTACAAAATCATAATTGATCTTAGGACTATAGGATTTCAAAACAAGAAATAATGAGTCAACATATCCTAAACAATTCTAAACCTTTATTTTTCTAACAAGAGTGAAAAGAAACAAAGGCAACATTAAAATGAAAAGTTTATACACAAACTCACAACAACTGTGTGTCTGAAATATCAATAATAATATAATTTGAACCCAGGAAACAAAATAATTGTGACAAAGTGAGTTACAGTGAAGTTACCTTAATTTTCAAGAGAACGAGGGAGGGGAAAAAGAGGTCAGATTGAAAATAATAAAACATGGGAGTCAAAAGGATGGGCGCTTTAAAAAAAAAAAAAAAAACTAAACAAAAACAAAACAAAACAAAAAAGGTATGGAGGGGAGGGAATGGGGGAGAAAGACAAATCCAAGAGGTACAGATATCCATTTTGGGAAAGTAGCACCAAAAACATGAATGCCTGTTTTTAACACTTCCCAAAATGTACTCCCAATTATTCAATATGCATGTCCCCTCAAAACAGCATCAAACACAAGATTCAATACAACTAAAAAAATACAAGTGTAACCACGGTGCTGTTGTCTTAAATCAGCTGTCAAAACTTTCTGCTGTACCTCAGCTTCAGGATTCATGCCCAAACAGAACAGTCTAAATAAACCCATAGCTTATCCAACTTCAATGAGGGGGCTTAGACACGTTTCGGATGAACTAGCATTTAATACGGTTTGGATAACGTAGCATACTGACTGACCTCGGAGACAGCTCAAGACCAAAGACACTCCTATTCCGGTACGACCAACATCGGTCCAACACAGTCTTAATATGTTCACAGAAAAAATGGATCCAGGGTAGGTGGACAATAAAGTTTAAGTAAGACAACGAGTCTGAAAAAATAAACATCATGGGGGAGATATGGCTGAGTTTCGGGTGGGACAGTGGAGTGTAGCGGAGTCATCGCTCTGTTAGTGTCTGAATGCATGAATAAGGGATGAGAAGGGACGTAGGATATGGGGGGGGGGGATGTCCTGCATCTTTCTATAACTTGACACTGTCTTCTGGCACAGAACACTCCGTCCCTTCAATTCATCCAACTGATCCATTTAAACGGATCTCCAGCGTTGAGTGTATCACAAAGTCTGCCAAAAGAAAAAAGTAAAAATGTTAATCTCCAGCAAAGCTAAAGTCAGTTAAAACTTTATTTGAAAATATTTGCATTAAAACTACAATTTCCAGAAAAAAAAATCCCACCATGTCATAAACTTGCTTAAATCAAAAGCAAGACAAATTACCTCTGGATGGGTCTGGACAGATAGGTGATGGGAGGGGCTGTGGCTGAGGGGACAGGTTTTCTTTGACTCTGACGCATCCAGTGACCTTTCTCCAGCCCCGTCCCCACTGCCACCTCTGTGGCCCTTTCTCTTCCTCCGTGAGTCCTTGGCTCGTCCGCGGCTGGTTCGCCTCTGCTCTTCAAGCTCAATCTGACAGAGAGAGAGGACAAGAATAAGAGAGATGAGTATGAGAAAAAAAAACCTACTAAAATCAGCCTGACTTTTATTCTTGATACAACAGAAAAGCATTTGAAGCAGCCCTGAAATGATATGAACACATACAAAAGTACAAATTCTTGACTATGGGAAGATTATGTAGTACGATCCAATTTAATACACGTAGTGTTCATCATATTAGTCATAATGGAACTAGGAGACAGTGGCAGTCGTCTATAGCATCAATGTGGTGCTAGAAGTGTCCTGTGGACTTTTTGATCACTAGTAGCATGACAGAGCTATATTTTTTTGGGTGGTTTGTTTGATTATTTAGGTATATTTATGTAGGTATTTAGTTTGCATCAATGTAGGTTTAGTTTTAAGATGTGTAACATTAAAATAATCATCAATTTTTAAAAAAGGCAGACTTTATTTTCCTGACCTGAATGAGTGTGCGCAATGTTTCTCTGGATGGAGCAGAGGCAGCCTGCAGGACTCTGTGGATGAGGAGCGTCTGGTCCAAGGACACCTCCAGCAGATCTCCTTCCAGCTGCAGTTCCTCCAGTTGGACTCTGGTGGCTGGTGAAAGCTCCACTACCTGGCCTTTTAGCAAAGGCAGCAGGGGCAGCAGAAACCCCACACCTGAAAAGTGAGCAGAAAGAATATATCAGGACTGCAGTGTTCTCTGTTGCACAAGTCAACCGCTGATACTTTGAAATCACAACACAATCTTACCTGTAACATTTGACTTCTTACTGATGCCATTTTCACAGCCAGCCTGTGGGCAATCAAACATTGAATAAAGGAGGAATGTTGGATACAGCATGATAAGAAAGTCTGAAGTAGCAATTCGATTATCAATTATTTAACTGACAGATGATGCATCAGAAAAATATTTGAGTAGTTACACAGTTTAAAGTAGAACCCCGCACAGACCAAAAACACCAGCCCTAGTCTTGCCCCAGCCCGGCAATGTCTGCAATTTTTCAGCCCAAGCCCAACAAGAAGCTGACATTGGCACCAATATCACTTTAGGTTCTCTCTGATGTGCACAAACACACATGCACGCTCCAACTTCTCCCTTATGCACTGCATTGTCAACTGTCACATATATGCTAATGCACGCTAGGGCTGAAACATATACATACATATAAATATTAACTATATACAGCGCACCGTTTCACACAGGACGTTATTACTCTCCCACAATAAGCTTAGTCTGTGGACAAGTAAAGACAACGTGATTTGATGGCGCGGCTAGCAAGAAGGAGGAAGAGAGAAAATAGTGAGACAAAAAGAGACAGGCCAGAGAAAAAAGACAAAGTCTCCAAAGTATGGGATCATTTCAAGCTAACAGAAAACAGCAGCTCTGTACAGTGTGTCTGCGGTAAAACGGAACTATTCTACCACAACAGCGCAACGGCAATGCTTTAGCATCTGAGCAGAAAGCACCCGGGGTTTATGCATCGAGTGTACGGAGCAGACCCAAAACGGTAATGTTAGCATTTAAGTTCAAATCATGATTGCTAGTTGAGAAGAAGGCTAGTAAATTCTTAGTTGTAATGTATAAACGTGCAATTGTTGTTAGTGGGTTTGTTGTTATTGTTCTCCGGCTGGTTAGTCTGTGACTTTGGGTTGTAACGATAGCTGCAGACCTAATGCATGTGTACATGGGTATTGCGTTGGCTAAGTACATCAAAATAAAACATTTCATACAGTAGCCTATGTATGCCTTACAGGTAATATGAGCACAACGAAAGGAGAAGTTAGATGAGCTAGAGTCTGACCAGAACTGGGCTCAAATCGACTAGGCCCCGATGGGACCTGACGGGCTTGCAGAACTCTAGTTTAGAGCCAGTAGTCTATATTTTGTTTAATATTACAATAAAGACTATCAGAATAAGATGCTAACCTCGGTGGTGTTGCTTTCCATGGTGGTCTTTTTAGGTGAATTCTCCTCTGTCAGATCAATGACTCCCTCGTCTCCTTCCCCTCCCTCGGAGTCTGATAAAACTATCACTGAGCTCCCTTCTGTCCCCTTTTTCATGTCTTCCTCTTTCTCTGTTTCACAATGGAGAGTCTCTTTGAGTTCTTGCAGTCTCTCAAGTGCCTGCTGCAGCTCTGGTGTCTCCAGTGCCTCCTTGGCTCGGCCCTGCCAGGTGATAGCCCTTTCTGTGAGACACTGCAGTGCTTCTCCCTCAGGCAGTCGCACTGGCAGCCTCTGCAGGGCAACAAGTAACGCCAGGATAGTCTCCAGGCGTGGACGCCGTGACCGCTGGCATCGCGGACACAAGAAGCGCGAGTCCCAGTCCCACCAGCAGAGGGGATTCACTGTTGGTCCAGAGGAGGAGAGCACGGAGGGGAAGGGAACACAGCCACCATGGAACCAGTCCTTACACAGATGGCAGCGAAGTTGAGGGGCTCGAGGTGGACCGGCACACACACACACTGATTGAGGAGGGGTGGTACAGGCGTGGTTACTGTTCCCGTTCTCTTTTACAGAGTTCTCTGAGTAGCTGGATGTGTCTGTCTCCATGGAGTCGTCCCACCTCCCGTTCTCCTTGTCCTCCTTGTCCTCCTTGCAACTTATTGTGTGAAATCCAGATTTACACATGTTCAATTTCTGTAACCTCAGTAGTGCCTCCTTCTCCTGGTGCTCCCCTTCTTTGAATGCCATTACCTAGAGACAAGGCACACAAATCAACTTCAAATACAGAACTAGAATTTATGCATAATACACACACATCCAAAAAGATAGATCTAAATCTTCGAGTGATTAAAAATAGATAATGTAATGCTCAATAAACTCACAATAGCTGCAGGGTCCCTCAGGTCCTGAGCAGAGAGGCCCAGAGTGTTGTTATCAGAGTCATCTAAAGGCTCATCCAACATCTGCATCTCATCTCGCCTCTCTCTCCTTTTTGCACACGGACATAATACCTGCAAAGAAACACTTGAGCATAATGCATGCTCTCAAGAGCTTGGCCTCTAAAGTGGAATGCTGTACTGATTTATGTAAACACAATGTATCGTGTATCTTGTTGTTCAATGTTGACAAAAATTCAATCTAAGTTCAATTTGAATAAAACATCCGATTTCTCTTGAGTTGCCCACCTCTAGCAGACTGTGTGGACTGCTCTTCTTCAGGAAAGTCTTGCTGGCCTTGTCCCTCCAGGAGTGAGCGCTGGCTACCTGAAGTTCCAGCTGTCTTAGCTCCTCCATGAAGACTGGCAAGTCCCGTCCAATAGCCACCAGGCCCTCTAGGTCGTCCAGGCATGGGTAATGCTCCCCATTCTACAACAAACACAATAATGAATAATATTACGTATATTAATATGAGGGTTAACTACAACTCACACCATTGGGTCGTTCTTTTACCTGGATTTCCTCTAGATCTGTTACCCAGGCCCGTGCTCGCGCAAGACAGCCCTGTAGAGCCAGAATGTTAGGTAGCTTGACTGGAATAAGCTGTGCCTCATTTACTATTGCCTCCAGGGTAGAGAGAGGGTGTTTTTGCCTAGAAGAACAAAACCATGACAAAGAATTTGTCATTTTGACATCTCTGCATGATGACAACCCCTGCGGAAGGTGAAGTATAGAAAAAAAGTTTATGGTTTGACTTGCTTGTCTTACCTTTGTTCAAGGCAGATCTGCGCCTTCTCTTCCCAACGTTCTGCAATTGTGAGCAGCTCCTGGAGCTCTGCCATGGCCGTCTCCACAGACACACTCTGGGGTACGTTGCAGCCTGCTTCCATCAGGTTCCTCAGCACATCCAATGTCACCTCCTGCCTCTCACCTCCTTCTGTGCCCAGAGTGCGCCTCACCTCTGCCAACCAATGGCCCTGCTCCTTTAGGCCCTGGAGTAAATTACATTCCGGCACCACAACAGGCAGCTTGGCCCCCTGCTCCAACAAAGTCTGTAACTGCTCAGGAGATGGAGAATCCCTCCTCCAGTCCTTGTCATTGACCAGTACTTGAGCCCGGCCCTGGAAATCTTCCACCGTCTGCAGGACCACCTTTAAATTCAGACAGAAATGAAAGAACAAGTGCTCTAAATAAGAGTACAATTTTTAAGCTGAGAAAATTATAAAATATTTATATAATAAATTGTATACATTTTCGAGGGTTAAAATACAAACTAGTTTGCTCAGTGTGACATATCTTCTCACCTGCACCTCCTTTAACGGGTTCATCACACAGGGCAGGTTCTGCATCGTCTCTACCAAGGATGTCAGCTCGGCCAAAGTCATCTTACTTTCACTAAAAGACAGCAACATGTAAATTCATGTAATTGAACAGTAAGTGTAAGTGTTACGTTTGTGTTCCATCATACCTGGTCTTTGAGTTAGTGAGGAGCTCAGTGCTGGTCTGTTGGCAGCGTTCTACGTCTTTAAGGACAGTGTTGAGTTTCCGCAGAAGTTCGTTGTCGGGAAACTTTTTTTCCACAGCTTCCGTCTTCAGCATTTCCAGATCATTAATTCCTGCAATTCCATAACCATTTGATCTTACCAGTTTCTTTTAAGATCACAATTTTCTGTTGAAACTATAATTCATTTATGCAGATTTCCCACCTATCTTGTTTCCTTCTTCCTGCTCAAGCGCCTCTTTTACTCTGTTGGCCCACGAATCAAAGGACTCGGACCGAACTTTTAACCGGTGTAACATGGCTAACAACTCATCCAGGGTGTATCTGTACCTGCAAAGTGAACAGAAAACAATTAACACAGAGAGAAAATCAAATTAGAAAGAAAATAACATGTTTTTAAAAGACACCGTTCACTCAGTGTATTATGGCTCACTGAAAAACACACACACACACACACACACACACACACACACACACACACACGAGATAAATACCTGAGGTAGAGTTTATCAGTGGGGCAGTTGCACAGATCCTGAGTGTGGTAGAGACACACCAGACTCTCGGGACAGTTTGAACAGGCCAGAGCAGAAAGGAAGCATGTGGTCTTACATTTATCACACTGTCTCTCATCATCAGGCAGCAGCTCAAATGCCTCACGCTCTGCTTCAGTAATGCCCTGCAGGTACAACACAGATTTTATTAGACAATCAAGAGAGAACTATTATTCACTTCTTATAAAATCAATAAATTCATAAAGGAATGAATAATGTGTAAGGTCTATTTCTGTGTCTCACCCTTTCCATCAGACTTTTCCGCAGCTTCCTCTCCTCCTGAACAATAATAAACATTTCCCGGTGTGTGGCTGCAGCCAGGTTGAGGTCTAGTTTCTCTGGGCAGGTAGCCATTTTACAGGTGAGCTCCTCATGGGAGAATACACAATACCTCCTTAGACGCCTGTAGTGATCTATACAGGAACGGCCAGCAGGCAGCTGAGGAGGAGAGAGAAAAGTGATGTTGATTATGTGGTATTGTGAACAATGTGAAATCACAACTTGAGGGAAACTGTGTAGAACAGACGTACCCAGTCGGCAGTGCAGAAATTTACAGCTTCAGCAAAGTTATATCCCTGATTGAAGCCACTGTGGTAGGCTCGGGGGAAGGTTATGACGAACTCACCAGCACACTGGTTGGTACGTACCACCTGCAAATAAGAAACAGGGGTCAAAGAAAGAAAGCTTTTTAACAAGCCATATTTCTGCTGTGTGCATGCATGCTTATGGGAGACTAACCGGTACACCATGAGACATGAGGATATTGGGGTTCATGATGGTCACCAGCTGGTGCAGGAGATCAGGTTGAAATTCAAACAGCTCTGGCGTCAGCTTCTTCATCACTTCCTCAAGTCTCTCAGCTGCCACAGAAGGAACCCCATACCAAGTCTTGGGTTCACCCCTGGGGATGAGAGATATGTGGGAAGTATAGAACAAAGAAGGAAAGCTATAGTATTTCACTCAAAGTACCCTTTCCCATGACATTATCGTATTGTCTATGTTAAAAGCTGCAACTGTTTAAGCCTATGACTGCAATAAAATGCCAAACCCTCAACAACAATACACAAAAAGAATTCTGTACCAGTGCAAGTAGTTGATGGAGTAGCTCCAGTGATCCTCAATGTGCCAGCAGAAAGCTGAGAACACCATGCCTACATAAAGCCAGGGCACCTTCATCCCAGAGATGTCTCCATTAATATGGCACAGGAGTGACTGCTCCAGCACAGGCATCACATTCAAGTTCCACCCACAGCGGGCATATTCCTGACAACATACAAGGAAAAGAGTGTGCACTGAAAATAAGTACTGCACTGTGATTATGAAAAGGTTTGGAAATGACTGATAACAGGTACCATCTGAAGTGAGTAGCTTTTTCATACATTACTACTTTTTTGAGAACATTATAAATTTAAAACATTTTTTGTTAAAATATTTGACTCAACTAGCCTCTGGATCAGAGTAACCCCTGGTTATGCTGTTATGACCCACGTTCATTTTAAACTCCTTTTCTGGGCTTGGATTTTGTTTAGAGTTTATCGATTTCCAATTTTTCCAATTCTACTTATCGATCCAGATTGATTCCTGATTCCTGATATATATATATATATATAGATAATTCTTGACATTATTTAAGCGAGAAAAGGAAATTCTTATTTGGCCTACCCTAACCCTACATTTGTCATCCAAGTACCTACTAATCCACACAAAAAAAAGACAACACTACAGGCAGCAAATGCACTGTTTTCTCATCATCTTATAGTGGTGTACCCAAAACTGAGCTGTAAGTTTCTGTTAATCCAAACATGTTATTTTCAAGAGCATCACTAAATTGAGTGTGGTCATGTCGATGCTTACAGTCATTATGACACAATGGCCTTCTGCAGTCATTATACTGCATTCGGGTAGAGTTCAACTTTTTACCTGGGTGGTTTTCAACATGTAATCTCAAGCAGGATGCCTCACACACACACACACACACACACACACACACACACGGTTCCGAATACAAAAGAATACAACAATGTGCGTACCTCCTCTTCCTTTGTGAGCTTCCTTTTGCCATTGTTCATTGGAAAGCCGCTGCCAAACTCTTTGGAGTGTATGTCCGCTCCATACTCAACGGTCACGTCTTCCTCAATACTGCTGACTAACCTCCAGAACTCTCTCTCCACAAGCTCAGTGGGAACCATCTACACAGACAACACACAGACTAGAGATTAGTCTTTCACATTATCAACAGTCAGGGCAGAATCAAATTAGGTGATATCTTGCGTGGGTGTGCTTACATGGACAGGCATATTGAAGTAATCTGCTTTAAAGGAATCCGCCATTTCACCAAAACTCTGCAGATTATACTCTCGTGTAGCCTGTTCAAAGCCAAATGCTTCTGCAGGTTTCTTGCACTCCTAAAAAAAGGATTAGTCTTGTGGGTTAGAAGAAACCTAACACCACCTACCTGACACAAACAAGTGCTATAAAAATGTTTCACTTACCTCTGCCACACATTTAGGGCATCGCCAGTTGCCTTTGGGAGCATCAGAGAGAGGCGGTAGTAGACAGTAGGTGTGGTAGTTATCATCGCAGCCATCACACAGCAAAAGTTTCTCGTCATCATCTCCCCGACCACACATCCGACACACAAAAGAATCCACCTTTGAAAAAGTAAGAAAGAGTAAGAAAGAGTAAGCATAAAACACTGACTTTAGGGCTTGGTGCCAGATGACCACAGTGCCACAGCACTAAGATTCTAAAATTCAACAAAAGATCAGACTGAGAGGGGAAAAAAGGATTCTGTCAAAGACAAAATCACTGCATTCACATTAGAGTCGCAATTAATAAAGAGTACAGTGCATTACATTTACAGCCCCGTAGAACCATTTGACTTCTCATTATAGTTTAGATATTCAATTATTAATTAATTCAATTATATGACTTTGATGTAAACTTCAACTGCCACCTGGGAGCATCCTTTGGTCTACTTACACACTGCGGGTTGCTGATGTTGCGTCTAAGCCTCATGGGGTCATTTTGGTACAAGGTCCATCTGTATCATCTTCATTCTGATCCTTCTCTTTCCCATCCTCTTCCTCTGGTTCTTCCTTCTTCACTTCTGTCTTAACTGTGATGCTAGAGGGAGGCGGCTGGGGGCTAGATGTACTCTCGTCGCTCCGCTTCTCTTGAGGCTCCAGTGCCTCTGCTTTAACTGAGGTATCAACAGAAGCAGGAGACACACTCTCCTTGACTGTAACTGTTTGAGGCAGCTCATCTAAAAGAAGAGCAAAGGTGGTCAGTTATTACAGACTTTTTACAGTGCAGGGCTCCATGTTGGCAGGATGGTTGTATCTAAACCAAAAACAAGTTCTCCAATGCCCACATGTTTTACTGTATGTGTCTGAGAAAATGAATGAATAACATTGTGGTCATGGTGCTTACCTTTCTTCCTGATGCCTTTGTCCCTTGCCACCAGTCCAAGTCCCATCATCTTAGGTCCTGCGCCATATATCTGTAGCTTCTTCAGTTCTGGGTTCTTCTCTATATCTTCCTCTGTGGGTTCAGGCTGTGGATGAAAGTACATTTTTTGTCATGAAGGCATTAAAAGTATGCAACTATTCTCCAAAGCACACAGAGCAAAGCAAGGGTCCAGGTCAAATGCATGAGAGCATAGCAATGCATCACAAGAAGGGATTGTGCTCGGTTAGAAAGTAAGGAAAAGTTAGCCTACATCACAGTGAAGCTTAACAGTTAAGACCCACCACCAGAACACACAATCACCAGCAGTTGCAACCATACAGTTAGGGTATCATTTAGATTTTGTTAATCATGATTCTGTGTTTTAAACAAATCCCTGGTTGATATTTGTAGTGAGGTAAGAAAAGAAAACAAGTCAAAAGAAAAAAATCAATTTTAAGTTCATTTAGACTGTAATTTGTCATAAATGATAAGGTATTTTGGTTTTCAGTTAAAAATGTAAAACAACAAATACTACACACATCTTGATGGGGCTGAGCAATTAATTGAAATATTATTGAAATTGTAATATGGCCAAGTGAAAATATCCAAATCGCAACAAACAATGGTCAATTTAAATGACCATTGTGGTGCTACAGAGACAGCCCAGCTTACAAATCATAATCTCCAGACATAAGGGATTGTAAGGGATGCTTGTTTGGTACAGACCCCAGCAAAAATCACATCATCATTTTCATTGGAAATTCAAAAATGACCATTTCCTATAAAATCGTGACTTATCATTCATGTTAACATTAGCCAATTCTGGGGAATGATGTCCACTTAGAAGGGCTGCAGGAGTAGCTTTAGCCTGGACATATTTTCTATTACCTCTGTCTCGCCCACCAGTCTCAATTAAAACTGTCTTTGTTCTCAACTGCGACCAGTAAGATTTTCTTTTGTGTGCCTTTTTTTCAAACTGGAGAGACTGATCTGAAGTTATACCATAGTTGACGGTCACTATGAACAACAGTATCAAGAATATTGACTGAGCACTGATTTGTTTGTTTACGTAAACTCTGTCTTGACTTGGGCATACCCCCTTATTTGAACTCAAACTGCTCTGCCTTGGATTCGTCCCGGCACAACTTAAGTGGGTCTAGACTTCAGCTCTGATGCTGCTGCATCCTTGCTTATAGTTCATCACGTTTCCTCTTCTCACTTTTCATTACTGGTGGCATCTTCTTAGTTGTTCTCATCCCAAGAGGGCCTCATTTATAGTAATCTGCAGTGAATCTTTAGGATGTGTGGAGACCTACTGGTTAAAATCTGTTTAAAGAGATCTCTTCCTTTTATTAAAATATTCTTTGTTTCGTTTTGCAATAACTGGTGAAACACAAAATGAATGAGACATGGTTGAAGTGAATGCACTGTCATTGAGGCTTCCTCCCCTGCATAATTTTGCACATTACATTTCACAGTCACATTATTATGGTTTAAAGTTTGGCCACACTTTTGGGTAGCTAGTTCCAGTCTGCCATATGATTGCAAACAGTACACGGAAGTCATGTGTAATCAGCAATGTAGATGGAAAAATGGAAGGTCTTAACGTCACTTTCAGTAATCAGTCAGTCGATCTAAAAAGCACATATAAGCAGGACTTTCAGGTTCCAACTCCCTTTTTCCTCAAACATCCATTTAAAGCGCTTTCAGAGGCCTACAAACTTGACCATATGAACACTTTTTCTACTCAGGTGTGCACCAAGAAATTGTTGGTCCGTGTGCAGTCAGAAAGCAACCTGTATTCCCACATCAAGAAAATTCATGTATGCACGTCATGATAACATTATTCGTGCCATTCATAGCACAAAAACTGGACAGATGCAATGCCATAAAATAAATGCTATTCAAGACAAGGAGGGTAATGGAAGAAGCACGTTCATTTTTGACTTTGCCATCTGTATGCTGATGCACTTCCTTCCGTTGTTCAGCTGTAATTCTGGCTGCCCATATATTGTTCTATATATTCTGCATAAATAAAAACAGGCGCTTTTTCCTGGCACTCGAGATCTGTTGACTAAAGATGTATGGGAGTCAGATAGGGACTGGAAGCAGCAGACGAAGCGGGTCTTGATGGTGGGGGACAATCAAACCATGGTTTGGCCTCAAACAAGCAAACCTAGAGGGACTTAGAGGCCAACAACAATTACATGTTCAAAAAGTTTTTTTTTTTTTTTTTTTTTAATGCTTCAGTGGCTTAGACGCCAATGTTTCACTGCCAATCATCAGACAATGGTGCTCTGTAAGTGAAACCTGATTAAATGAAACTTACTAGGTTCTTCTGTGTGAGTGCACTCAAAAGAGAACGCATGCAGCCACAAGGTTAGCTGCTGTAGTGAGTAGATGGCAAGGCGAAAGAGCAAAAGGCACACAGACAGCCCAGCAACAAAGCATTTCAAGCCAAGTACAACCACAGAGAAACAGCATGGGTGAAAGAGTTATCGAGAGCACATCAGCCCAACAACTACACCAGAAAAGTGAGTTTGGCAATTGGGGATAAAATGCAAACTTAAAGGAAATCCTCCTCTGCGTTCATTGTCTAGTCTAGAATGTAACTGTGATTTAATTACTTGCACCAACTTTTGTTTAAATGTTATTATTTATATTTTTATGGCAAAATGTCATGGGTTGCCACCCCTGCACTGAGAAACTTGAGGCACACAAATGAATGTTAATGAAAATGTTTTAGTGGTTAGTTAAGAAAAATCAAAATATCTAGACAACTTCAGAAGGAGTGAGGTGGTCTAGGAAAAGAGGCGGGAAGAGAGCGGGGACAGAAGGTGAGCTCATATGCTCAAGAGGCAGTACCGCAGAGATGGGTTGAGAGCCAGTGGTGAGAGGATGGGGGACCAGATCCTCTGGACCCTGCAAAGGGGAGACAATAACAGCAACAATAAACTAAGACAAGAGGGGAAAGGAGATGAGAGAGGAAGAGAGAGAGAGTCTGGAAAGAACAGAGCCAATAGTTGCAGGAAAAATATCAGTGGGACACATTATGACACAAAGGTGACACCTGAAGTATGACCTATAAAAAGGTCCAACAGGAACATGTGTAAATCTAGATAGTAAATTCTGTCTTTTGAATTCAAGATTAAGTTTATTTTTTTTGGAATAGTGGTAAGTCTAGTAAAGCCTTGGATAGGGCTGCATCATTTAAGGTCTGCCTTACTTTTTGATACAACCATATTTCTGTTATCTCAGCCCTGACCTTACAACCACTGACAGGTGATTCAGCTGTCACACCAACATGATTTATTGTCCATGGAGTGGCTTTGGCACCAAACAAAAATGGGGTTGGGAAGGTGTCTGGGTGTGGGAATTTAGTGCGAACAAATTTGTTATCATGCACAATACCAAAGTAGTCTAGTACACTAGTAGTCCATCTAGTGGCAAATAATAGAAAAGTATCTACTGGATACTATTACAAGTTATGCTAAATGGCTATAAAATACAATCCCATTTAGAATGCTTACAAATATGCATAACTGTTATAAATAAATAAATAAATAAGCAATACCAAAAGCTTTCTGGGTAGTAATCAGTTATTGCATCAATCATCTGATGACTTTTTGGGTCATCTTTTTTCTTCTTCAAAAATTTCAATTTTGTTCCTATCAATGCAATTTCTAACTAAATATGCAAAACAAAAACAAAAAGATGCATTCCAGCACAAGTTGTATTGTGTATTGGTAACATTAATGTGAGCAAAAAAAAAAGTTTCGTGGCTTATGAAATATGAAGGGAAGTGGAAGAAACAAAAGCACAGAACAAAATAAGCCATGGAGCAGAGAGCAAAAACAGCAGAGTTAAGCAGAGCAGCATGGCGGGATGGAGAGTAAGCAAGCTGGGATGGCCCCGAGTGCATTGTTACAACTACATTGTAACCGATGCACAAGGGCATGACAGCATGGAACACGCTACAAGACTGTCATCCAACAAACACTTGAGTAGTTTGTTGACGCTGTCGTTATTCATTTGGCTGATCAGCAGGCAGTAGATAGTAAAGTAGATAGTACCCTTGGTACTAAAACTTTACAATGTAAACAAACATTATAAGAGAGTGCCAGCCTTGTACATTTGCTGATCAACAACAACATAACAAAACCACAACATAAAAAACACACTGTAGTATTTCACATTAATTACTGGAACTTCCATGTATGTAAAAACTAAACTGTCTGTAATTACTAAGACAACAAATACAGATAATATCATCAGGGCAAGGATTTGAATGTGTGGTTTAAGTCCTGTGAGAAATCATCAAAGGTTAGGCCAGCCTAAATGCCTGGTAGTTAAATTAAATTAAATGGCAGGTTGAAATTCACACCTTTAATACCCTGCTAAAAAAAAATTCATCTTTGATGAAGCAGTTGCACCAAACGCATGCAAAGTGTGTGGTCTTTAAAAAGCAGCTACAGAAACAAAAATTATATTTTGCTCTGATTCATCATTTTCTGGGCTTGATTGTGAGGCAACAAATTGCATATGGAAATGTGATCCAAAAAATGATATTCAAGTGACCAACGTTCATTCAGCAAAGGTTTACTGGTCACAGAGGTATGCAAATGTATTAAATGACAAGTAGGATTGGTGCGCTCACTCACATCAGGCTGACAGCGGTTTGCTCTGCGTCCATAACTGCTTATTTTGGATGGCTGCACAGACTGTCGCAGGGGGATGGAGTGGGGCTTGTACTCCTTATCCACATCCTCACCATCATAGTGTTTTGGCTTGCAATGCTAGAAATGACAGAAAAAGAGAGTTTATATGGAAATATGTCCAAAATACAACAAATGGACTTCAAGTGGAAAACAATAGGTGCCAGTCCTCCCCACTGACATGTTGGCGCTTGTACAATACTTATATTATGATAACTTTAGTAAAACAGATAATAAAACAAGGAGAGCATGTTGCTCTTAGGAAGAGGCTGGACGACATAGCCTGGCTCTGGCTAAATCTACATTTGTCCACTGCCGATGCACTATCCCCAATCTGGACGACTAACTAGTATTGATGACTGTAAGTATATTTTTATAAAATTAAATAAAATGTTTATATTAATACATTTATAGGTTTATTTGGATAGTCTGCCTATAAATAGTTTATACAGTATTTGAAACATTTCAACAGTTTATTAGTTGAGATTCAATAATTCAACTGTATTACAAATAAAACCGCTTTCTGATTACACCACTGCGGTGAGCGTTGGTTAGGGCTTATGTTAGTGTATTCATTCCAATTTCATTTAATAGTATGCTATATAGCTTACCACTTGTATAACATTAATTCCAGTTGGACAGTACAGAAGTTTCGTCTTTGTGAGTTGTTTTCATTCATTAAATCCTTTTGCAAGAAAACTGCTCTGCGTGGTGGTTAGTCTCTAATTTGTTAATGCTACTAACAACTTGTCAATAATCATAACCATTCATGCATATCAAGTTCAACATTTTGAAAGTTTGCTGTAGCACATTAACCTTTTTCAACGTCCTGCCCCATCCAGGCTATGATCTGTCAGTTCATGAAAAGTGACATTGACAAGCAACTTTATGAAAAGTTGACCATGCATGAGTACAAGGCACCCAATCTTCTCCCTACTCTGTCTCTGACAGAGACTAGGAGGCTGGTGAGAACAGGAACAGGTGAGCATCACATAGTGCCCAGCGGGTACAATCAGTCATATAGAGACTAACCTACTCTTCACATATCAACTAATTTTGAATGCCACCTATGAAACTGATCAACCCTGGTAACACAAAAAGGCACAATAATGTGTAGAGTGATACCGGCAAGCTGGCACCAGACTGGAACATTTCAAAGGGGTAGACGATCCTCTCGTAGTGCGAACGCAGCAGAGAACCAATGTTCTTGCCTGGAGGGTAGCCAAGCCTTTGAGCCACACGAGCCCAGCGTCGTTCCTTACAGACCATCTCAAAACCTCCTTCATCTGTCACGATCTGGAAGAGAAAATTGTTGGGGTTTTTTTGAAAAAAATATATATCATAGGTAACAAAAAACAAAATCAACTTAAAATGTAGTTTCTGAGTACAAATAATTAAATTAATATCTACCTTTGACAGGCTGAAAAGATCAAGGATACGCCTTTCAATGTGTGGGATTTTCAAGGAGGATGCCTGGATCTCCCAAAACCTGGCGATGCGGTCCAAATAATTAAGCTTCACTCTAGTCTCTGCCTACAATGAGATGCATGAGGGACCACCATGATTACTATGGCCAGTTCCATCAACAACTTCAATTGTCTGTCAACAATGTACAACTTTAGGGGGGGAAAGGAACTTACCTCCAACTCATTAAGCCTCTGGATGCGGGGTGTGAAGCGGAAGCTATCCAGCTCCACTGAAAACGGAGGTTGCCAATCCTATTTGGGAGAAAAGACATGCAATTAAACTTGTACATCTACATGATAAAACAACAGCATGTGCTATTTCTGCATTGATGCTGACCTCCATCATTAATCACTGATCAAGACCTCCAACAAATGAATGTGGACATGAGACAAATGAAATAGTGTGCTTAGTTTGGAACTGTTGCCACTTAGTAACCAACTTTATCTGACTGGTTATACAGGATCACCAAGGTTATGTTTTGTGAAGCCTGCTAACTCAAAGATAGCATAACAAATCAAAATAAGGAAAAACAGATCGATGTCACTCATGTCACCAGATCCATCTTCAAGACTAAGCGAGTCCACAGGCTTTTGATTTAAACCTTCAAGATAAATACTTCAAAACCTAGTGTATGCTACACGTTACATTTAGAACACAGAGAACATTTCTTTAACATCATCAAAGCATACGCAAATACTTACTGGCGGAGGTCGAATCTTGCAGATTCCAGACTTCTCTGCAATTGGACGTATCTTGGCGATGTAGCCCAGGGGATCCTGAAACTCCTCCCATGATGGCTCAAATACTGGACACTCCGGAGGGGGTACGAACTCTTCCCCTTCCATTGCCCTGACAACAGGAAGATCGACAATGCAAAACAAGTTAATGAACCCCTGCAGACTCACTAATTGGCATGACAGCATAAATACAGCACCCCAGAAGGCACTTTATGTATGCAAATCTTTTTAATTTGTAGATAACAATTTAAATGTATTTATTTAAAATACTGCATACTGTTAGATGTTTTTTCTGAATGTATCTACAACTTTTTTTTATGACTTTATGACCTCCAGATAGTTTAAAGACAAGAATGTTCACTGGCCAGCATTGAGTCTTCAGATATGACGTTTCTGAACATAACACATGTATCTCAATAAATGTTCCTCATTACATTAAATTTAAACAAATCATTTGTTAGCATGCCAGCTTAATTCAATGAGTAAAATGGTCCAGTCCAGTGTATAAGAAAATAAAATGCATATCATAGTTACTACAAAAGGTTGTTGCATTTGTTTACTCTTGTAAAACCATTACTCCCTGGCCTACCACAGCACTGCAATATTGTCGGCTTTAAATATATAGCAATTAGTTGATCTGTATGGTTCATATCATTTCCCCCAAAACTTAACATAAGAAGCGATAACAACAGACTTAGGGAGTCACAGGATGAGGATTTTTTTGTCCTCACAGTGGTCCTTGTTAAAAACCCCTCCCCCAACAGACGACACAACAAAACAAATGCCATGCTCTTGTGAATCAACAAGGTCCAGTGTGGAAAGGGTCAAAAGTTTGAAGTAATTAGATGAGAAGCTTTATCACATGCAGTAGGAAACAAATTATTTAAATATAGAAGTGATGGCAACCTTTCTGCATGCACTTGAATAATAAGCACTGCTTTATGTAATTTGCATGTATAGGAGTTTTCATGGACGAGTCCTGTCCTGGGACATTCAAAAAACATACTAAAATCAACAAAGTGTGATGCTTGGACCTCAGTTATACGTATCCCATCTATCTGATCCTACTTGGGCCTTCAGACAAACAATGGCGTGGTGGCCATGAACCCTAAGGTATAGAAGGCCATGAAGGCATCACTACTCGCAAGTGGGTTGGGCTTAATTAATTAATAACCTTTAGCGAGGCAAATGACAACTAATCTACAAACAGGTACACTTCAATGTCGGTGTTGTCTTACAATTTGTTAACATTATTCAATAATACACCAAACTGTTAGCTAACGTTACTAGCTAACAAACTTAGGAGAACTGGCGTTAAAACTAACCTTACCTTCCAATGACAGCCATGACAAGATGAATAAAGAGATCGAAAATGTCTCCAATACAAATATTTTGAGTGGGTTAGCTGGGTGTCATTCATTTATTTCCTGCGGGCAATCATGAAGTCCATTTGTTTCTATTGTTCAGCTATCAGAGGCGACAACGCTGCTTCCAGCTAACGTTAGCATGAAGGCCTCTACTTTTTCTCATCCCAGTCCCATCGCTTCCCACAGTGTTAGGTTACTAGCATTAGGTAGCTAACGTTGCTTGGGTAGCTGCGAAAAAGGAAATAACAAACAAGCTAACCTAAGTTGCATACTCAAATTGACGCTAACGGCCAGCTAGTTAACGTTAGTCATATAGCGTTACATGTTATGTGCAAGACAAAAATGTCACATTAAGTTATTTGTTGATCCCTTTACACCACAGTGTCTAGTTGCATTCCCATGACTGACCCAAAGACACCTCGATGTCCCGGGGTATGATGGGGCTGGTGGCCGCTCTCCTTCCTCTGTTGTTGTGATGACTGGTGGTTAGCTAACGTTGGCCAGCTGTGTTCGGTCCAGTTGGCTAGCTATCGCTGCTAGCAAAGTTGACCGTTTTTCAGGCTCAGTTCTCCATATAATCCCTTCTGTCGAACACACAGGTTCACAACCTGAACGGCAGAGGTTCGTTTAACAGTAAGCGAGAGTCTCAAACTTTATCAATTATGTCGTTACCAATCATTTTCCGACCAACATCATTACTCTCTTCAGGCCATCCTATCTTTCTTGACGAGACGCCATCTTAGCTTTTTTCTCATGACCGAAGCACAACCTCAAATCTTCACACCACGTACCTCACGTTCACTCCCTGAAAGTAGTACCCACGTACGCCAATACAAGTAATGTGATTACAACGGGACCAGTTGTGGAAGTATTTAGAGTCCTTAGAGTCCTATACGCCCTACGTGAAATTAGCCATGCTACAGGCTGAACAAACTGTCATTAAAGGTAAATCGCAAAAAAAAAAAAAAATAAATTAATACACGTTAATTTAAAGGCATAAAAGGAACGTACTTCTTGCGTGATCCTTGCGTTATTCTTTTTACATTATTGTGTAAACAGAACTGATCGATTATAGCTATTTTTCTTTATATATCTGTAGTTTATATGTTTATATATAGTTTCAAAATATTATATATTTTATTGCATACTGTGTATGTAAACCGCAACAATATTTCCCTGCCTATAAAGTTGCATAATTATGGAAATTCAGCTACCCTCTAAATTACACTTAGCATAGTATATTTGCCTTGATCGAGAACTTTCCACCACTTACTGTACTGAATTACATTTTTATGTTATTTTAACACTGCAGGGGTATTTGACGATATTCGACAATTTTATATAACGTTAGTTTTGTTATCCCTTAAAATATGATTATAAGCTAGTGTGGTGACAGCTGACAGTAGCATAATAGACCATTTTTCTTTTTTTTTGTGCCCAACAAAAACGTATTTAAATACTGTGAAATTACCATAAATCCGTTGACAATTTAATGTCGTCATTTGGGTGCAAGGTAAGAAGGCTCTTATAAGTTTGGTGTCTCCTTCTGTTTTTGTGGTATTATGCTATTTGCAATCACACTGTTCAAAAACTATCATCTTAAACTTAATTTCTTTGTGAAGATGTGTGTGTAAATATGAAAAGTAGCCTATATCTCATAGATCTAGTATCATATTGTGTCTTATCTGGTAAGGTTAACTAATGTTATAATGTTACAGTTATTTAGATGTACATGAGAGCAGTTTAATGGTGGAAGCAGATGTGAAGTTATATAAAAAGTACACAAAGACCAAATCACTGCAAGGACACTTTAATTTATCAGAAGCAATAAATATTCACATCTCAATTCTCTATTCTTTCAGTACACATAATACATACACAAAGAAAAAATTGAAATCATTTGTTTAAAATGATATCAATAAGTGCACTGACATATAATCTTTTTTTAGGCTTCAATTTATATCATGGTAACTCATTCTCTCACCTTCAGTCTGAAATAATAAGAAAAGAAAAAGAAGTCAAGATTCCTTTTGGCCAACATCTCCTGGGTCAGGGTCCCTCTTTTATATGTACATACTTAGTGGCACTCACATGCACGCACCTGAATACAGAATGGGAATAGTTCATCCCATAGTAATGATATGAAGCCTATGTATAATATAATATGTACATTCAGGTTTATACAGTACAATCTATTCAGTAAGTGCAGATATATTCATGCAAAAAGAGTCAAAAAGGACACCATAAAAAGAAAAGGCTAGCCAACATATTCTTATAAAACCCTCGTCTGGCATTTTCTCCACACCTCCTTAAAATCCTTTTAAGGATTCAGCTCTTCTTGAACTTCGCCATCTCTTTCAGTAACAGACTTTGTTTACTTTGTCCTCACCCATTCATTCTCTCCTAAATCAGAATATATAATTTTCCGCTGGTAATCAATGGCACTGAAGGTAAACCACACCGGTGCTCACCTCAAAAAAATAAAATAAAATGCGGTAGCAAAAGGGGGCAACATTTACACGAAGCCCACAGAAAAAAAGGGAAATACAGTAAATACCTGTAGGCTATTTTACATTCTTGACTCTTGTTATATTTTTAAACAAGAAGCCCTCAGCAGGATGTCATGGCACCAGAAAATGTAATACAAGATTTCTAAAAGTGGCAGAAGAGGGAGAGTTAGAAGAAGGTCATTTCTGACTTAAGACATCACGTGTGCAAAACCACAAAACCTCATGTAAAAAGCGTGCTTCTTCAAAACAGAAAAACACACAATGATCTGATGAGGAGGAAGTAAGCGTAGGTTCCCTGAGGGAATGGCATCTTCCAAAATCCAGGTCTTTTCCCAATTTCCACAAACAAGTTTAAACCTTTTTCCAATACTGGGAACCTTATACAAATCAAAGATCAAAAAAACAATTACTTAGATCCATTCTGTAAGTTCAAGTTTTGTTACTCACCCCATTTGAAAAATTGTGCCCGTGTTTACTCACAACCAACAAAACAGAAAAGGAGGAATATTGTGGTGTTCAAATAAATTTGAACAAAACTAAACCTCTTTCATTATTTTCAACACTCAATAATACTAATTATTATAAAGATGAACTCAATGGAAACCATGGTACTATGGAAATAAATCACACTTCACATATCAGAACACCCTCTAGTGGCTATGGCAAACTGAGGGAATTAATATGTGCATATACTCTCTATAACCATGTACAAACATCTGCTGATATAATTAATCACTGACAATATTCATCATACTCATAGCAGGTGTATTATAATATCGATAAAACAGCAAGAAGCTTCAGAAACATTCAAAATATATTATTGATTGTATCATTAATTCCCATACCCCACAAGGAATTCATTATAAAGCCAGATGGCTCCTGTTGACATGTAAAAGACCATTAAGCAAAAGACTGCCAGGAAACCGTGCACGGGTTTTAGAAGTCTGAGACAAAGCAACATATCTGAGGTCTTCTTTAGAAAAAAAGATGCCTGTCAGCAAAGCAGAACCTGCAAGAATGAACGGGGACATCATGAAGCCAAGTAAATTATTGCAAAGTCAAGGGACATTTTTTTGCAACTCTCCGCTGTTTTTAATGCCAAACTCCACTGGAATGCATTTGGTGGTTTAGTCTTTATTTACATCCCCATGTAAGCAGCTGGATATATATGGTTTCATATATATGTTTTTCCAGTGTCACATTATCACATCTTGATACTGTACATGTAAATAGTCTCATACAGACTCAACTAGACTTCAAACAATTAAAACTGAGGCAATAAACTTAGATATAGATTTATTTTCATCTTAAATTATATGGCTATAGACTTTTTTGATAATGTGTGTGGAAATGTGAGGAGTGTTTGTTCATGTGGATGTGTGTGTTTCTGTGTGTGCAGGTTTCAAAGATGTGTGCACATGCTATTTAACTCTAGCTGTGCTTTTTATCTCCACCTACATATGTGGGAAACGGAGGTGAAAGTAGCAGAGACGAAGCAAACTGCGTTTCCTCTTGTCACTAGCGCTGCTGCTGTTACTTTCTGTCCTGGCAGACTTGGTCCTAGCCCTAGCTCTACCAACCTCCTCCACTTTATAATCAGACCTCTGACCCCTGGGGCCCCACATCCTGCTCACACCACGGTACTTATCCGGTTGATAGGCTTGGATTTGGAGCTGCCCCCTGTACCTGTCGCTCCAGCCCCTGTCACCTGCGGCCCCTGCTGAGGCTGCCCGGGGTGCTGGGGGGGGTGAGGGGAGAGAGGTGTAAGAGGGGTAAGGGGGGACGAAGGGGGGGGTAAAGGGGAGTGTGGTGGGGGAGGGGGGATGGAAGAGAGAGGAGGGTACTGGGGCAGATACTGGGCGGCGGAGGCTGCGTGATGCGCATTGACGGTGGCGGATGGTAGATTGTGGGGCAGAGTGCCGAATATGAAGTGTGTTTGATGGGTGGAGTGGCTGGCTGGGTGTGGTGTGTGCACGTGTCCGGGATGGGTTTGGGAGTGTGCATGTGGGTGCGGGTGGGAGTGAGACATGGTTAGTGGTAGTTTGGCACCAGGGCCGCCGCCCCCTCTGATAGAGTGTGTGGGCTGCGCGTGGTAAAGGGCAAACTGTGGGTTCTGGGAATGTTGGGAGAGAGGAGAAAGGGGGGGGGGACATCCCACCACCATGTTGGCGTAACGACCCGGAAACCCATGCTGGGAGAGCTGGGAGAGATGGGCCAGCTGCGGGTGCTGGGCGTGTGGGGGGCCAAGCGGTGGACGACAAGGTAGTGGGCCTCTCTGTATAGTATGAGGGGGCATACCTTGCAAAGGAGGAGGGACAGTTTGGACGTGGTAACGATGGTGATGGTAGTATGGTGGTGGGGGCTGCACGGTGGCCGCGTGACAGTACTGTGCGTGCAGTGCCTGGATCTTGGAAGGTCCCCCGTCCAACTGGCACAGGGATGAAGGGGAGTGAGGTGGGGGCCCTCCCGTAGTCGGTGGGGGGACAGGTGCGGGGAATGGTGGCCCCGGTGGAATAAGGGGCCCTGGTGGTTTGGCGCGTTTGCTGCCGAATAGGGAGCCCAGGAAGGAGCCGCTGTTGTTGTTGCTGCTCCCCCCAGGGCCGCTCCCCGCTCCTGGTCTCTCTACACTGCTGGAGACTCCCCCAACTCCTGTCCCAGCAGTGGTATGTTGCTGCCCCGGCCCACCCCCCACCCCCGATCCGGGGCTCAGGATGGGGCGGTGAGGCCGGAAGTCTTCTGTTCCATAGCAACCAGGCATCACACCTGGCATTGGATAGCGCTGGTGAGGCTGTGGGCTGCTAATGATGGAGCCCTGCGAGGATACAACATGTTTTATAAAAATGAGGATTGCGCTACAGCCCCTGAGGTGAATGACATGCTTGGGCAAGTATAAACACACACAGCCATGCAAAGGGTGTCAGCGCAGGACAGATATATGTGACACACGCACATGCATGTACATGCACACTGTACACACACTGAGCGTGCTCAGGAAGGTAAAGCACCAGTGAGGGGAAATGCAGGTCTATTAAAGGTTACAGGTCAACATCTAGTCTTTGAGACTTACTTCCATGGTACTGTCAAGAGAACCAACACTGTTCCTGCGACCACGCTTCCCTGCACCCCACCAGGAAGAGTCAGGTTAGCAAAGAGTAAAAGATTGGAATGTTTGTTCACATTTTTTTTTTAAAGATAGGAAATGCATAAGCTGTGTCTTAATGTCAAGTGAGAAAGATATAGTAAATGAAACAGTAGACACTGTAGAAGCTGTGCAACCCAATTCAACCCAGCTGACAGGAAGGAAATGGAACTGACCCCGTCCCTGAGGTGCTGTTGTCTCACCTGTGTCCGATAGGTCCCTGAGAGATGAGCTGAGCGCTGTGCGTTTGAGACCCTCACCCACTGAGCAGTTGTCATCAAAACTTGTCCTTCCCAGGGTGCCATTCACAACATCGCTCTTCACACCTACGCCTCCTCCAACCACACCTCCAGTGAGCAAGCTGGGCCGCATCACACCTTTCTGTTTCTCCAGCTCCGCTGTAAATAAATACCAAGGGCACAGGAGAATTTAAAATAAAAGGGAGACACGGTAGAGAAAATAACAAGCCACACACTAGAACCACAAGCACTCCATTTGTGGTTGAAACCTGTACAGATCATCATGCCCACTAAAGGTATTGTTCACAGTAATGACCAGTAGATGGGGTACTTACACTCGACTCTATATTTCTCCATCTCTTGCACTTCAGCAATACTCTCCCTGAGGTCGCTAACAAAGCGGGTGCGGTCTTGCTGACTGGGTGCCATAAAGATGATAAGAACCTTCCTCTCCCCACCCAGGACTGCTGAAGTCAGGCGGATACCATGAGGGTAGTCTGAAAGATGCAGACAGAGTGATATAAAATACTTCACAATCATAGAGTTAAAAAGTTGAAATGTGCAAAAGGAAAAAATGGTCTCTTACATGAGTTCTGAAACATGTGTACTTGCATCTCAACCAAAGGGAAAGATTGTCTGAAACTATAAGTCACTGAGGTTTTCTTCTTCTGGAAGATTTTGGTCACCTGATGCACAACATAAATGGGATATTTCTTTACAGGGCCAATTAAATAAAATATATTTATTCTCTGCCACACTTCCAAAATTAATGAGTCTTACCACCAGAAGGTCATTAAAGAGGAAGACCTCTCGTTGGTGCACTCCTGTCCTCTGAGGTCTGTTAGGGTCAGGAACCTCATAGAGTTGGCAGCAACACACCAGCCTACGATGGGGAAGGGACAGCACCTATACAGACAAATAATAATTATTATTAAAAATGACAAAGCCCATATGTTGCCATATTCAATTACAAAACTCACAGGCTTCTTGCCCACAATGACTCTCTCCACTGCCTGCACTTGGGACACGTGGTCATCATTGGTCCGTAGCTCCCATTTCTGAATCCGCTGGTAGATCCCAACCAGCAGGTCCCTGGGTATATCCTGACCATTGTCAACGCCTTGGGTGGAGACAGGGAAAGGGAGTGTTTCAGGAAATTATATTTATCAAAAATGTATTGTACAATCATAAATATTGTGAAGGTTTATTGTGATATTTCCCGACGTATTTGAAAGCCCATTAAGCCAGTCCAAATGAAATCATTTTAAGTCATGTCTGTTTGTAGTCAAAAAGAATGACAATGTGTTTTTAAATTGTATTGTTAATAGCTTTTGTTTATTAAAAAGGAAGAATAAGTTCTTTGGGGAAATATCAGAAACGCTCCTTTTCGTCTCAGCTGGATGGCGGGTGTCTGTGTTTGATTGACGGCAGCTAAGCTTGCAAACTGACATTAGAAATGTGCTTTTTCCCGTGAATGTCTGTTTAGACGCTCGTTCAACAAGCTAAGGTGCAGGACAAGATCTGTGTTCATGTTTGTAAGTTAGATAAGAAGGCGACTTTAGCCGGAAATCTAATATGGGTTGTTGTTCAAAGTCTGTGGCTCTCATGTTGTGTAGCAGGCTGCTGTCTGGCTCAGTGTGACCGTCTGCTCTGCCTGTAATAGAACGTTGACGTTACTGCTTTCTGCAAGATTTGACTGGCTTCATCAAAATAAGGTCTCCGTCTACATAGAGGTATCAGATTAATGCAAAACTGGGGTGTTCTACCATGAAACCAAACTCTTTTGATTTCTGAATTTTTCCTCAAAAACAGAACAAATGATTTACTAAGCAGATACAATATATGCTGTAGAAATGCGATTTCATTTCAGCTGGACTTTAAAACTTCTACTAATGCATGTTTAAAAGGCTCATTACCTAGGTGATTGTTAAAAGACAATGTTAGAAAGACATCATTAATACTGCCTAATATGTGTTTCATAAAGTGTATGTGTCTTTTCAGCACCTCTCAAATTCTTGATGAAATCCTCTAGTTTCATCTTCCTCTCAGCTTTGACGTTGGGACTGTACATATCTGTGTTGAGGAGGATTATGGCAAAGGCCAAGATGAAGATAGTGTCCGGGTTCTGGAACTGCCGAACCAGAGTCGGATTGCACACACAGTATCTCTGACTGCGTAAGAAACACAAACAACGTGTTAAAACATCTTAAATTTCAGTGTATCTTTGGTTATCTATCATTTTCTCTATTGTAAACCCACTGTATCCAACACATACACACCTAAAAGCCTCTATGAGCCTCTCCACTTTTTGGGCTTCTCCTTGAACTTTAATCTGAGCCTGGAACTTCCTGAGAGCGTCGTCCAGGTCCATACCTGAGAAGTCCATCTCATCCACCACACAGCTGAAACACACACAGCAGAGGTCATAGTGTAACCTCTCCTATTGCACACCCTGGGAACTCAGCAGCATTCATTTGTCAATGCAGATTGCAGAAGTCAGGTCACATGTGTTTACATACCGTGTGTGTGTGTGTGTGTGTGTGTGTGTGTGTGTGTAGGGGATCGGAAGATCAGGTGGTGTGCATATGCTGATCTGTGTTTTGAATACCTTTTTTCCCTTGTGAAAATACAGATTTAGATTCAGCTCAGTCTTTTTGACATGTTTGTCTTACATTTTCTGATCTATTACAACTGTCCATCTAAAACAATCTTTCTGCTTCTGTGCTTTCTATTTCCATACTCACTCTAAAACATCTTTGTTGAATTGTTTCTGTCGGTTTCCCAGGAACTCTCCAATCATCTGCCTGCTGAGGCCTTTCCTCTCCAGGATGAAGCGAGCAATCCCAACTGGAGTGTCCGATACAAAACCTCTCTCTATCAGGTACTGGATCCCTTTCTCTGGCTTCCTATAGTCAATGAAAAAGAACTTTCTCACTACAACTTAACCAGTTTAATTGTATGATCGCCATAAAAATGGTCCCTATGGGTACTTCTGTTTATTAGTACTACAAGCATCTTACTTGTTGAAGAGGTTGAGGCCTATGCGGTATTGGCGTCTCTGCACCACATCACTGTTGAAGGGCGGGGAGTCCCAGCTGTGGCGGCTTTCTCTCTGGTAGGTCTGTTTTCCCAGAGGTGGCAGAGGCTCCCGCAGGCTGTCCTGAGATGACGAACCAGAGCTGCAATTTACTGTCTCATTGGAGTTGGTTGTGGAGTTGAGTGAGTCGTTGTCTCCGTCCGAGCAGCACGGCTGCTCCAGACCACCGGTGGGCATAGCTGTAGAGGAGGACGAGGACAGAGGGGTGGTGGGGGGTTGCTGGGGGGAGGAGGAGGACGACGGTGTGTCAGGGTACTGATGGTGGTGGATAGGGTGGTGGTGATGGTGGTGGTGGGCAGCCACCTGGTGAGGGATGTGTGTGGGTATCGGTCTGCCAGGCGCCCGGGTTTGACCCTGGGCAGCTGCTGTGGATGTAGGGCGGGTGCCTGTGTTGGGGGAGTGTTTCAGGGTTCCCTGAGGGGAGCCAGCCCCTACCCCTGGCTCCTGCTCATAGACCAGCTGTCTGGTCAGAGAGCCACGATCGGAGCGGTCACTCATGTCCACTGAGCTGTCACTCGGCGGCTCAATAGTGAGAAGAGGCAGATGTGCGCCCCTTAGACGATAGTCCCTGCACTCTGTACATGGGGTGCTGCGCCGACTGTTACTGCTGCCCCCTCCCTCAGTGTCCCTGCTGTCCTCGCGCCCTCCAACACCACCGCCAGGGCCCCAGTACTCTGTATCTGTGCTGCTGGGTGCCCGATCCAGGGACAGCGGGGATGACGGCATGCCATCATCCATGTAAAGTGTGACGTCACTGTATGAGGTGGCGGTACTGTCGCCATGCATACTGAGTCCTCCTCCAGCACCCCTGGCTCGTTCGCCCAAACCTCTTTGGGAGGAGGGATTGCTGCTGCTGCTCCACACGCACTCCCCAAAGTCTTCACTAATCCCTCCACCCTCCCTGCTGCCCTCCTGGGAGTCATCGCGACCCGCGCGGCAGGTAAGGGCATCATCTATGGAGTCAGCTAAGGACTTTACCTAGTGGAAACAAAAAGTGGGGTAGGAGCTCATCATCTTTCTTGTCGGAAATAAAACTTGTTATTATAATACATTTGTTACACATCTAACAGAGATGTTTAATAGGCTTAAATATAAAATTCAGTGGGTCTATAGCTGGTGGTGCCAGGTGCCTGACAAGATTAGATAAGTCTTTTCGTTTGCTTTGTCCAGCTGTTAGATGAGTTGTTTAGGCTTTTCTTTCTGCTCCTTTGTTTGTTTGTTTCTGTCACTGTAAAGACCTTTGAGACGTTCATGTCATAAAGAGTTATATAAATAAATGAACCAGTAAGAACTTGACCACTTTAAAGCCCAGCACACACATAAAACCCACAACACTGTTACCTGTTTGGAGAAGGAGTCCTCTAAGTGGGTGTAGTCTCCTGGGCGGTCTGGGTCAGGGGAATGAGGAGGCCCTATGGCCACACTGTGGGTGAAGTTCGTCTGTGTCTGGGCCTGCTGCGGAGGCTGTCGCTCATCAAAGGAATACTGCAGTCTCATGTTGGACAGGATGATGCGACGTGTCATGCGGCTCTCTGAAGCAGAGCTTCTGAGACGCTCAAAGTTCTTGTTCATGCGATACTGTCTGAAGGCTGTCTGAATGGTCCTAGCTGCTCTGCGACTTACAAAGGAGCCACCATACTTTCTCTCCAGCATCTCCACCTGGCAAAGGTGGGGAAAAGAAAAACAAAAAAGGTAATGGATTATATATTCACTGTCTGGATGTCCTCTACCCACGTACCCCAACTGAAAGGGCTCCTTAATCTACATACTATTTGCCCATGCTCATGGCTCCTAGGAAACACCAAACATTTGCAACAAACTTCCTCTGACCAACAGCGTCCTCCGCATTGATACCTTCTTATCTTGCAGATCTGTTGAGAGTTCATAGCTGTCTGAAAGGGCCTTGCATCTCTTGTTCTCCTCTTCCTCTTGCTTGCGGAGGGCCAGACTGGCAGGTTGGTGCCGTGTTCGCAGTGCCCAGGCCAAGCTGGCTGAACTGGAGGAACATGAAGGGTCCCTGGATCCGGAGGGTGCACTGCTGCTGTCAGTGTAACGCTCTGAGCCACGCAGGTAAGGCGTCTGGCTGAATGAGCTGTCTTTGTGTGTGCCCGTCTCTGGACCCTGGGAGTCCCCTTCCACGCTACAAGAGAAAATGAACAGAGTCAGAGTCAGAACATATTATACCAAACACATTGAAGTGTGTTAAGTGCAAACTATGTAGAATAGTATTTAAGAGCTTACATATAAGGACTTACATGTAAAGTTTAGAGCGGCGTGGAGATAACAATCTCTTAGTCGAACTCATGGTGAACATAATGTGTATCACTTGTAAATTCCTATTGTTTCAAAGCAGTGCCAAAGCCCGAGATCTGATGGCTTTTATTGTCTATCTTGTGAGTTGATGATCCTATAGAGGTAAAGGTCTCTACCCTCTATCTCATTTCTTTATTGAGTCTAGAGGATGAGTTAATATACTACTACGTTTATCCAAGCGTTCTAGTGTTTATGGACTGCCCTTTCTGTTTCTCACTTTCTTGTTCCTTCTTTCAGTCTCTGTCTTTCTCTGAGTGTATCCCTGTCTGACAAACCCAGCGGCGATAGCACATTTTGAGGAGTCATCAACACACTCCTCCAATGCCACGTACCAGCAACACCATACTGACAGGAAATACCAGGTTGTTATGTCAGCAGCAGGTGTAAAACATGCACTTCATCACACTATGAAATATCGTGACAGAAAACACATGCAAATAACATCTCCTCCCACATTCACTCTCACTCAGTCTATTACACAGAAGTAATAGCAAGCAGCTAAGATTTGCAGCCAAATCACCAATAAAGTTCAGCTGGATTCAAATTGAATCAATCCTATTTGCATTGAGCACAGCAATAACCACAAAACTTATCAGGATTCAAGAAAGTCCAGAAATCCTCCAGTGTCCTGTTTCACACGTTTGCCCAGACAAAATCCACCCCAAGTCAATTAGTCAGCCTGTGTTTGGGAGAACAACTGCAGTCACATGCTCCTGCCTACATTTCCTCCTTGTGTTAGCCGCACCCCCTTCAGTCAGCTGTGCCTTGTCCCCATAACAAGGCATAGAGTACAGAGCTAGGGGTCAGAGATGTGTGGGAGCAATACATTCAGCACATGAAATATGAACGCAAATATCGGCAGTGAAGCACTGCTTGTGTGGTTTCCGCCTTTTGCATAGTTTAGGCTCTGCGTCACACATTAATGCAGTTGATGAAAAAGAACTGAAATGGTGCCTTGTTGACTTTGACCATTTTTGCTTTGAGTGGGTTAGCTAATGTCCTCTTCCTCCCCTCCTTGAGTTATTACTGTTCCACTGGATTGCAGAGACTTCCTGTGTTAGTGTTTAGTTGGTAAAAACAAGACAAGACGGAAAAGGCTCCTCAGGGTACAAGGAAATAACTTGTTGGCATTTTAATTTATTATGGTAATATTGAAATTCAAACACCACATGCCCGTTCCTATACCAAGAATCTTTGCAGTGGACATAGGGGAAGCCATTGTACAATGCAGGGTCTTTCAGCAGGACATCCTGTGCCTTCAAGCAGCACATGACCTGGCTAAATTATTGTTGAGTCTAACAACAACACAGACGACAACTCCATTATGTTGCATAATGCAAGAGTCATGCAAAAGCCCAGTTTTAAAAAGACACAATCCTGACATCTACAGGAAAGCACATATCACTACAACTATGCTAAGTTGTAAATATTTAACAGCAACTCCACATATTTATATTTACATTTACACTGTTTGCAGGGATTTCATCACAACATTAACAAGCTGTGCTTTGTTTCCATTCTGAGCAAATTAGTTCAGAGGAACAAGTTGTTGCGCACAACTCCATCTCCTCTTGAAAGTTTTTTTTTCTTCTTTTCTCTGTGCAGCATCATTTATCATTCCTCCTCCTCTGCTCCTTAAATAGAGAAATTGAGAAGAGGGAGGGGGGTTGCTTGGTGACGGTTGCTGTGGGACCTTGGTGGGCGTTGAGGCAGTTGTTAGGATGAGAAGCATAGTTGCCATGACAATGTATTGACTGTTATCACCATTGAGGTGGGTGTTGGAGATGCTCCACAGGTTGTGAATGACAGTCTACATAATACTTGTCTTGTTATGAAAACACAGATAAAATAACATGCCTGTGCAGAGTGAACTATGCAAGACAGTTAGTTAGACAGTATTGTCTAAATTTGTTTATGAAAAATGGAATTAATCATCATGAATTAATCATCTACTTTTAGTACATATTTACGTATTGTTTTGTATTAATTGTGTGACTAGAAAATTCAGTCTTCTTTAGAGCTGCTTAAAACTGCTCCTTGAAATGGAATGGATGAATGGAAACTAGCCACATGAATGCCTCTGTGCATTGACAACAGGTAGACACATGCTGGTATTCACTGTAACTTCCTTACATTCACATCAGCAGGACCAGATTGTATTTTCATTCAACTGAGTTACAAAAACCTTAAATACATGCAACGCAACATTAAAGAGCCACAAGCCTAGTTTCATAAATTTGTCTCTGAATTTTTCATAGCTGCTCCGTGGATTGATTTGACCTTATAAACTCATCTGTTCACATCTCATGAAGAAAGAAAATCAAAACAGTTCAGACAAGGATGATATTTTCTGCAATGGCTCTTCTACCACTGAATCAGTGATCATCTGTATGGATTATGTGACAGTGTCCACAGTGATTTGTGTAAATATCACAAATTTCAATTCCTTCCTCTGAGCATTAGGAGGAGAGATATTTATTAAATGTCTCAAGTTTGGTAAAATATTTCAAGCAAAACAAATATTTCAAACAAAACAAATGAATTCCGATATATTTTCCCTGCCACCCACCTCCAAGCGTGCATGCATTAAGACTTTCATTTAATTTTGTCAAGGCAAGCCAGGCAGTAAAATGTGGTGAGAGACAAGGTGTTGATGATATACGAGTAAAAAGTTTGTTGTATAAAACATGAGTGTGGCCATATCGCAGCTGGCATCTGTACCTCATTACTTATGTAAGAAACCCAGTATTCCTGTTACAGTGCCAGAGAGAGGTTCTCTCCAGAGGCTCCCTTATAAAGACCAGCCCAGAGTTTCACTACCTCCAAAGATTTAATTGGAGCTGAAACAGATGGTTGGAAATAAACAGGAGAGTGATTGCTGATAGTGTTAAAAGAATAAAAGACATGGGCAGAAATTGACAAGAGCGGCAATGACAAAAATTGAAAACTGAATTGGGGGTGCGCGCAGTAAAAGTACAATGTCAACTCCATGCAGAACCCTGCCAGCTGTCCCTCGCTCATATAATATTGATGTGCTGACATTGTTTGTGTTTGTTTATGAAAGAGCAGCAGTAGGTCTTACTGTGCCATTGAACCCACAGCAGGACATTGAGGCTGGTGATTAACCTCTCTGCTGCCTGCCCTGAAGATGACAATAATTGCATCGATCTGTCTGTTGACTCATTTCCACTTGAGCATTGACTCACTGTAGTTATCTTTCATATCTTTTCTAATCTCTTCATGTTCAACTTTTGTGTCAATTTTACCATTCATTGCAAAGCGTATCAGAAAATAATTCAGAAAAAAACAGCCCCTGCGACCCAAATGTGGACTATAAATGATAAAAAGGAACACAAAGGCCTACAGACAGCTTTGGTCATGTGATAATATGCAGAGATAAAACAGTTTTAGTCATGTTTATCATCATGAAATAAAACTAATACCGGAACTCTCTGTATGTTATTTGTCACATTTCTTTCAAATGACCAAACAGAAAGGAAACAATCACATCATTCACGGTTCAGATTGGCACATTCTTCCACCGCCAACACTCTTCTGCCATCACATACACACACACTGTTAACTTTCTGTGAACCGGACCCTTCAGTTCAAAGCTCAAGCACGCTATATGGTTTTGTCAGCAGAGTACGCTTCATGTTGAATCCAGGTAGTGCATTAAGAGACACAAGCCTTGTGACACTGTGTTGTTTGCAGGGCTACAGAGTGATGTAGCTGACAATTGGTAGTGTTTTTAAGCATAAAATGATCAGATAAATCTCTGGCACTGAAGCAGAAAAGACTGAGGAGATTTTGTGTAGTTTAGACGGTCTTGTTTATACAATCTTGTAGAAAAAAATATGTAAACATTGTGCCTTCTCCTTTTACAATGTACAGGTAGTTTGCCTTTTCATGTCTTTTGACTGATTCACTTGAGCGGGTATAGCTAATTTGGCTTTTGTAGAGCTTGGTAAACTGCTGACAGCTGACCTCCATCGAAGTTGAAGGTCATATCCTCCTGACAGGCATCCAAACTAGTATGACAAACCTTTGTAGAAGAGTTTGCCATTGTAACCAATTTACTTACTAGTTAAAGTCATTTTTTCAAGAGGCCATTATGTTTTTTGTTCTGCTGCTGTATATGCATTCCCTCAAGAGTGACACCCATGACAGATTATCCACTGTGTACACACGGGTATCTCTCAGAAGCCCATTTATCATCCTGTCCTATTTATAAATAACAGTTACTGAATGAAGATTCTCATTAATTATCATCCCTCAACATACAATATTTATCTGTTGTGTCAATCTTTTGCTGTCTGTTTACCTAAACACAGCACACAGACTGGCGATTACAGTTCAAACCACATCATAGGCACTACATCACTGCAGCAGAGGCCACCATATGAACACACCAGTGTAATAAGCAACGTCATCTGTCACTGGTCCCAAACTAAATGCTCTTTTGTGACAGTTTTACAAGTGAAAGAAAAGTGAAAAAAGCTGAGCTCTTACCATGCTGCTACTGTCAGAGAAAGGTCCCAGGCTAACTGGAGCAGCGTAATAAACACACCCTCTCTCTCCCTCTCTCTCTGTGACTCGCACTCTTTCATACACACATGCACACACTTTCACATTCTCTTGCTTGCCTTGAAAAGCTGTACAGGCTACATTCTTGACAATCTTTTGACAGCTTTGAATGTCCTCCCTGCACCAGATCACTGATACCAAATCAAACACCAAACCAAGCAAAACCTTGTCACAACAGCGTGGATAACATGAACAGACAAAGAGACACATAGAAGACACACAGAAGAAATGGGCAGTGTG